ATAATACATATAATATTAGAATAATATAGACCAAAACACATCAAAAAGCAAACAGCATATTCACACATCATGAAGTAAGATGGAATGATTGAGATGAAAGTAAGATGTAAATAATTTGCCTCTAGGCTTTTCAGAAACGCAATTAAACTACAAAACAACACACGTACAGGATATATAACAAAATCACTTTTCAAACACAAGAAAACCACAGAAACAGAAGACATATTCGTAAGTTTGAAACCCTTCACTGAATATTGATAATGTTATAAAACATTCATAGTTTTTTTCTAAATGTGTTCATATATATTTAACTTCTTCACTGAGTAAGTATCTTCACTCAGTTTTCCAAAGCTCTTAAGCAGAGTGATGAATGAAGTTAAACAGTGGCTAGAAAATACAAGGAATGCAGGTGTGTAACTGTTCTCTGTCACCTTCTGCATTCTTTTGCAGGGGAGAAGACAAAGGTCCTTTTCATTTATAATTAAGCCAGGAGAGACTGGGATTTGATTAACCAGGCAGATGGTGAGTACGATGCACACGGACACATAATATTTAGAAGACCTCTCTACTTTCAAAAGAACTTGTATACCTTTAGCTGGTGGAGCTGCCACTTTCCGTGAAATTGGAACAGGTACTTTCTCTTCTGGCACTGGCTTCTTGGGCACTGCTGGCATTTTTTTAAAAAAAGTTTATTTTAAAAGGTTTTGAATTAATCACAGTTTAGGAACATAATCAGATGACAAAACAAAAATGCAGAGACTTGACATTTCTTCAAGTCAAATAAAAAAAAAGACAACAAACATTGAACGTTACAGCTTGTGTTAGACAATTGGACATTATAAATATAAATCAGTTTCTGAAATAAGACTTCTTTTGTGTAGCTCTGAAAAATTATATACCTCTTTTTGGTGGAGCCTCCTCTTTTTTAGCAACTGCAACTTTTTCTTCTGTGATAATTTTCCTGTGCACTTCAGTCACTTAAAAATAATAAGCATAAGAATATTTAGTTGCAATATTTGAAATGCAGACATAGGTAAGTTTTTTCTACTTAATCTGATTTTTTTAAAAAGAAAATGCTAAGTAAACTTCAACAGCAACAAAAATGAGACATTGCAGAAGAGTGTACTTTGCAGCCATAGCACAAAGATGAATAAATAGTCAAAAGGAAGGGGAGATCCAGACAGAGGTTACAGATACTAACAAACAAAAATTTATTTAACTAAAATGCCTAAGCACAAATACTGCAAACAAAAAAATCTCCATGATAATAATATACTCAGTTTGTTTACCTTTGGTTGATGGAGGTTCTTCAACTTCTATCTCAAGAGTGGGCACCTGTTCTTCTGCAAGTTCTTAAAAAAGATTGTGCAACTTTAGAAAATTTGATTGATTTCAGCAACAGGCATAAGATAAAAGATGAACTAACACATAAATCTCATCAAGATGACACAGGCCACAGGCCATATTGTAGACAAACAGACATAAGTGCATGTTTAATGTTGAAGAAATTTGATATATGAGATATATTTTTTATCAACATGTATATATGTTAAAGATGAAATGCAGCAAAACCCCCATTTTTTGCAGTAGGAACAGACCACTGATATACCTCTTGCTGGTGGAGCCTCCATTTTTTTAGGCACAGGGACAGGCACTTTCTCTTTAGGAACTGCTTTCTTATGAACTTCAGGAACTTTAGAAAAATGAGTAAGATGAGAAGGAAGATGAGAAAGAATATTAAGGTGTAATATTTGCAATTGTCTACTACATTACAATGTGTTTTACTGAGTTAACACAAACAATACTTTTCATAGTACAAGATGGAATATGAGACAACTGTTCATCACTGGAAGCAGACACCACCCATGTCAACATGTACAAACAAGACAGTGCGACAAACATAATCCCCTTGAAGATACATCACACACATGAGGAACTGGTTTATACCTTTAACTCCTGGAGCTTCCTTAGGGGCAGCTGGAAATTTTGGTTCTGGGACAACTCTCCTATGCTTCTCAGGCACTTTAAAAGATTACAATACGTAGTTTTACAAAGAGGAGTAGTATCACCATAACATGCACACATTTCCTTAATACAAAAAACCACAAATGGACATAAACATATAGTGGCAACATAACACTCAGAATGATGAAACAACCCATATTTTGTAATGAAAAGAACATATACCTTTAGTAGGTGGGGCTTCCTCTCTTTTAGGAACAGTTACCCTCTCCTCTATGTAGTAAGACTCTTCTTCAGTCACTTAAAAAGAGTAAAATAAAAAAAATACTTGAGTTTAAGTATTTGACATCTTTTACTGTCTTTATAGCCCTGGTAAGCAATAAAATAACTGTAAGACAAGAAGAAGCAGTGTGCTTTACTAACAGACACCTCTGGTATTACAAAATATACATTCAAACCCTCCTGCTCCCTCTGAAGCCAATGGAAAAACCCCAAGCGACTTAAATGGAACTGAGATTCAGCTCTCAACTTGTATTTCTGTGGAATCTGAAAATGCTCAGCATGCGAAGTACTGGATCAGCACTTTACATTCCTCTGTCCACTAGTTCACTAATGTTGGAATTTGTTCACTTGGAGAAAGCCTATCTCCCAAATACTGAGAAAATTCCTTGACTAAAGCCATCCCTTGAAAATACTTTCTGCAGTGTCACTTGTAATGGAAACTGACTCAATCAGTGTATTACCATCCTTCACAGCATTATGTTACCACCAATAAACTTACAGGTGGAAAAAATTTAGTCATTTTACGATGAAATTCTCTGAGGAACCAGAGTGCACCATGATATTCCGAAGGACCTTTACTTCATCCAGGCAACCTGGTGGAAGAGGAACTTCCAACAGAGAATTTTTGTAAAAAAAAAAGAAGGGCTGATAATTCTCAACATCCAAGAGACACCTCATTATTTTCACTGTATCAAAACAGGTTTAACTACTACACTTTTCAAAAGCAAGTAATAGAAATTGCAGACGTTCTTAACATTAAAGATTATAAGATATGAAACATTTATATAGTAGTAAATTTTTCGTTATTAATAGGGTAGATATTAATCCACATTATTTTTAGTACAAAAGAAAAATTACTTTTTGCTTTTGCCTAGTATTCCTGAATTGTGGTCATACCTTCAGAAATCTCTTTTCTGTGAACGGAAATAGACACTTCCTCCATTTCTTCTTCAGCCCATTCTTCAACTGTTGGTTCTTTAAAGAAGATTGTTAGTTTTAGTATTTTTGGTGGATGGATGGATGGAAGGAGGGATTGATGGATGGAGAAGATGAAAACCAGTTCTTACAAGTTCTATATGACAGTGACAGATATGCATACAATACAGAAACTGCTGTGCACACACATATGTATGATTTGCTCTAAATGATGTGTTTTGTCCATGCCCCATGTAGCCTATTGTGTGCTGTTGTATCTCTCAAATATCCTTTACTGGTCAACTGTCAGTCCATTAGAATGCCTCAGCTCCCCAAACTTCCTCGTCACAACGGCTGAGGGAGGGAAACAACAGTCAAAGAGTTAGAGATTGCTCCTTGATCCAGCTAGATGAAGGTAAGAAGGACAGGAACAAGATGAGAAGGGTAGGTCAAGAATTGAAAGGAAAGTCTGGCATGTGCACATCTACAAATGTGACTGTATCAGGGAAAACATCAGCTTGTTCTGGGGTAAAAGGTTAATTTGCAGGAGACAAACAGAAATTAACACTGCATGTATCCATATGAATATATATTTGCATGTTCATATTTTAGATAATTTCCATATCTGCTTTTAAAAACTCATTTATGCTTTTTAATAGAATATGTAAATCGTCTTGACTGGCTAGTTATTAATGGGATATAAAAATGGTCAAAATATTGATTTCAGCTATCTTGAAGTAGATATTTTGTGGAATTACACTAACTTAAAACAACTGATCTCAACCTTCCCTGAATATGAGAATATGAACTAAAAGAGCTGGTGAGAAGCTAAGACTGTAGAGAGAAATAGTATTGTTATCTGCAGGGCTACAGAGAGCCCTGGAGTATGGGAGTGTGCAAATGGATGGTTACAGTCCTAATTAGCAGAGTCTAATCTCAACACTATACACCCATACTTCTTAATGATGATTTCATGACAGCCTGATCCAAAGATCACTGTATTCAGTGGCAGAGTTTCCATTCATGTCAATGGGGTGGGATCCTGGCATTCAAGACTGAAATGGTAAGTGGCACTCAGGAGGCTCTTAACTGCCTGCAAGTCTGTAAAATGTTCAACACAAAACTCATATAAGATAACTAACACAAAATTTTTGTGTATTTTGGTCTTGGTCTTAGAACAACAGACTTGTAGACAAAGCACAAGTTTCTCACTATTGTCTGTTTATAGTGTACCTTCAGGTGATGGGATTTCCTCTGGAATGGCAACAGATACTCTTTCTTCTGTAATAAGTACTCTTTCTTCAAAAGTGGCTTTCTTCTGCACTTCAGGGACTTTGAAAGATAACAGTATTACATGTATGCTTTTCTAATTCCATTGTGAAAGCAATGTTGCAAAATGCTAAATCTAAGTTTCCAAAGAATTGCTTAAGGGTACTATGCACATAACACATAACAGAGATTCAATATTTAGAAATAATATTTTTATAAGTATTGCACAACACATACAACATACTGTAATGATTCATTGTCACTAAATCAGAACAGCAGAATTCACAGGGGAAGCACAAATCAATGACTGATAACAACACAGAACATATAAACAAAAGCTGAGAAACAGCATATTCTTTCATTCTGCTGGAAAGCATACCTTTAGCTGGAGGAGCCTCAACTTTTTTAGGAACAGCAGGAGATACTTTTTCTTTAGGGATAGGTTTCTTAGGAACTGCAGGCACTTAAAAAAAAGTATTTAGTTTTAGGACCTATAAAGTGCAAAACTGGCAAAAGCATCATGTAACAGAAATGTATCATTCAACAAGATTACACATAGACATATTTTGCTTACAAAACAAAACAGCTGAGCAAGCTGAGACAAATGCAATGTTCTAAAGACTACAATAAATAATATTACAGTGATCAATATGTACCTTTTGCAGGTGGAGCTTCTTCTACTTTAGGAACATGTGGTATTTTTTCTTCTGGAGCTGGTTTCTTAGGAACTTCTGGCACTTCAGAGATATGAATTATAATAATATTAAGTAACTAAAATTACAGGTGTTTGAAGACTGCATCTATAGCACAGTTATCCACAAAATTGACACAAAAGATACATAGCTAATGTAACTGAAGTACAACAAAAACCAGATTCACTTAACAATCAAAGCCAAGATTGGACATAAACAAGATGCTTAAGATAACAAGAAAAGAATGTTATTTATTTAAGTGTACCTTTAGGTGGTGGAGCTTCCTCTCTTTTTGGAACAGCGATTTTTTTCTCTGGGGGAGCTCTCTTAGGCACCTCTGGCACTTAAAAAGATAAAATGCAAGATAACTGAATTTTATATTTCAAAGATTTATAGGAGTGTTATAGAATTTCATTAATCCATCTATAAGAATATCAAGACACACCACATAACACATTCACACACTTAACGTAGAAAGGTATGAGACAAGAGTAACATATATTTGGGGAAAAAAAAAAAATCAAATCAGTCTCTGGAAGCCTATCAAGTGCTTTAAGACTGATTTCTTAACTGAAGAAAGAGCTGCTCAGGTATGTTACCTGGCCTTAGAAATTGTTATATATGCAGAGGGAATTATACATAAAAATAAATTTCTAACACAAACATGTTTACGTACAGGCCAACAAAAAAAAAATTAAAAAGATATTCAAAAGATACATGTACACTCCATCACTAAGTATACCTTTGGCACGTGGAGGTTCTTCTTTGGGAACAGGAACGTGTACTTTTTCTTCAGGCACAGGTTTTTTAGGCACTTCACGACCTTTAAAGGTATTAAAATTTGTTTAAGTAACCTTTCTAAGGCTTTTGAGTTTGTCTTAGATGAGAACAGACATGCAACATAACACACAAAGACTGTATTTATCATATGCTTATATTGAGAAGTGAATAGTAGTTAAGGAAACAGCACAATAGTACAGGACTGGTTAAAGCCCACATTCAAATATGCTGTACCTTTTGCTGGGGGAGCCACCTCCTTTTTAGCAACAGCAACTTTCTTTTCTGGAACAGGTTTTTTAGGGACTTCAGGCACTTTGGAAAACATTGTCAAAGTGAGAGAGCTTTAGTTTCTGGACCACTCATCCAGATTTCAGTAATCCAAGATTGCTTTATAGAACATAGTGTCTGGACAAGGAGCTGAGCGCCGCAACACAATACAATGTACAACCACTTGGACACACAGTGGACTATATGGGAAAGACACTATGATACAGTATAAAATTCCAATTTTAACATTTCCGCACTATCACCTTTCATGGCACTCTATTGAGGTAAAAACACCCTACCCTTGTCTGCAAAAGCCACACAACTTTTAAATACAAACAACAAGCACAAGATTGTTAGGAAAGAGAAGGGCCAAAGCTGAGGCAAATGCAAGCTGTAAGCTAAGTTATAGCACAAATGAAAAAGTAAAAGTATGGAGATAATAAAGATAGTGTAAAATCAAATAATGCGTATGGAGATAATGCAAAACCAAACCACTAGAGTGTAAATTCATAAATACATTCAAGAAAACATGAAAAATAATATAATGAAAGACAGTTTGTTTGGTTTTTGTTTTTTTGGGGTTTTTTTTGTTTTTTTTCACTAGGGCAGTAGGAATACCTTTAGCTGGTGGAGCTTCTTTCTTAGGGACAGGAACAGGCTTTCTTTCTTCTGGAACATGCCTCTTTGGTATCTCAGGCACTTTAAAGAGATAGGTGGTGAACACTTAGGAGACAGTAAAAATATTTGGTAAAACACAGTAGGCTACTTTCAACAGGCTGGATAAGCAAACACTATATGTCAAAAAATACGTTGTTTTATCAAACATACAATATGCTCATCTCAAAAAAAGCTATTCAAAGAATTATTTAAAGCAGTGATGAAGAAGAATTAGATTTAGAAATGCAATAGGCCTTGAACTTTTGAGAGTAGAGCCACAGAGAGATGGAAAGATCTCAGTTCTGGTATGCTATCCTTTGGTAAAGAGTGGTACAGGCAGATAATGTGAAAGTTCAGAAAAATGGAGCGCATGATGATTCAAAGATTTTATTCACCTTCAACGTGAGGGATCTCCAGTTCTGTAGAAATGACTTCTTCTTCTTCTTCTTCTTCTTCCTCCTCCTCCTCCTCTTCAACTTCCTTATGTGCTACAATAGGAATTGTAAAGATACAAAATTTGGAGATAGGAAATATCAATGTCCGTAGTAAATCTGAAAAGCTTTTAAGAAGATATTATGTGTGTCCAGTACACAAAGTTCACTGAAACACATATGCTAATATGTAAAAAAAATTCATCCAGAAAACCAACAGCATGTGCAAATCTCATAATGAATTTTGGTTAACTACAGATCCAAATTGTTTTAAAAATCTTAAATATTGATTAGCCCCTCATTTTTAATCAATCTACCTTCAACTGGGTAAACAGCTTCAAAGAATCTTTCTTCAACTGTTTTCTCATGCTCTGTTGGCTCTTCAAAGAAAAGCATTTAAACAATGTTAAGATAAAATAGTTGAAATGTTGACAACTATTAATCTAAAGAAAACTGAAGCTACATAACACAATGAACAAAAAGAGGCAATGCATATTGAAAAACAAATATATGATGTGTCTAAATATGTAATTTGCCATACATAAAAATAGATTAAAAGAAAATCTAGTAGGATTGAAAGATTGTTTTGATTCGGGTGCACAGATTTTTGGTTTTGTACATACCTGTGACATATGAATACTCTTCTTCTCTGTGAACAGAAACCGACATCTTTTCTTCTGAAACGGTCCACGTTTCTACTGTCGGTACTTTAAAGATAGGATTTTGTTTTAGTATTTTCTATTCTAGATCCACATTAGTGGTAGTCAGCAAATCTGTATCTGTATTGCACATTTAAGTCTTAAACATATTTAGACAGTCAGTATTCATATTCTAAAATACTGAACACAAACCAAGCATACAAGTATAATATTTAGTATCTGTTAAAGACTGAAGGCACAGACACCTTTAACCTGAAAATTTAAAATAAATGCATGCACAGGCTTTTGGAAATAGTATTAGAAGAATTCCAAAGGTGGGTTTTCAGAGAAATTTTGGGGCACTGGGCTATTATTATGTAAGCATAGGCCAGCAGGCAGAATTGATGAAGAAAAAGCTAAATCACACTGCAATATCCTGTAGGCTGTTTAAAAAAGAATCAAAAGGCTAGCCACAAACATGTTAAAAACAGACTTTATGAAAGATAAAAGCATGGTACACATACTATTTAAACACTGAGAGTAGTCACAGCACGACTGTTACAATAGATCCAGGTACATACACACAGGCCCACATATTCACAAGAAGCACAAAAACACACAGGGTGCTAGAAAAAATGTAAACTGCAATTGAAAGATGCTGATCTCTACCTTCCTTTTTCATAACTTTTTCCTCAATGATCATTGGTGTAGGTTTTGGTGGTAGAACTTTCTTGGTAACTGTTGGCATTAAAATTTTGTTACTCAGTCATGTATTTAGGAAAGAGATCAAGATAAGTCTACAGCTATCTAGCAATGATGTTGGAAAAAACCCAAACAAGACAAACATAATCTAACTGAGTAGCTAAGTCAGGTTCCTTGGAACCATGCAAAGCAACAGAAGGTATGTGTTTGCTTCTTTTTATTGCTGCCTTCTAAAGGGGCTGGGTAACTCAGGACATTTAGTACACAGGTCATATCCTGATATTGACATATATTGAATTGCAGCCAACAGAGTCCTGCTGCAGAATGGGAAATGCTATACAAGAGGAGGTGGTTAGCAAGAGAATAAAGATGCATCTTTCTTTCATAACCAAACAATTAACCAAGACATCCTGGTAGACAGGTCAAGATGGAAATCTGAGGAAGATGGGGATTTCACATCTTCAGCTCAGAGTGAAACATACCATTTCACCCAGTGCAATTTTACACTCACTTCCTTTTCTTATTAAAGCATTGGTAGTTAGCATCTGCATTTAATATTTTCCCCTAAAAAGCTTTTCATCTTTCTTTTATACAATTCAGCAGAAGCTTTTATTAGATGTTTCAAAGACTGAAAAATTTATCAGACCCATGTTAAATGAAGACAAAGCATATGCAGATCAGCTGAGTAACAATAACCACTACTTTCATGTGAAGATGACATTAAGGTAATTAAACTGTAGTTACCCTCAGCCCGTTTGACTTTTTCTTCTGCAGCCCTCTGAGTGGTTATCTCCACTTTTTCATCAACAGGTTTCTTGACAACTGTAAGTGATTCAGATATATTTATTGTTTAAATCATCTTGCAAATTACTTTCTGGACACAAACCAGGTAGAACTGGCTATTTTCTTGTTTAGGATGTTATAACCTTTGCGCATCCTGTGCGTTCAGCGCATTGTTCACTGGTGGTGAACAGTGGTGGTAAAGGCACTTGTGAAACAGGTGATCAGGCCTGCCCTGCCCTGAGACATATGCGGTGATCTAAATGCAGGACACTTCTCAGAAGTGCAGCATTCACTGGCTCAAAAGCACCACCCATGCCGAAGGCTAATATACAGTGAGAAGGAAAGATAACTGAAGCTTAGTTTGATTTTGCCAGCAATTCTTGGTTTGCTTCAACCACCATTGCCACTATTCTCTCTGTATTTGAAAATATGAAGTGAGGGAAGAAGAAGGGTTGCCATGAGCCTTGCTCATGTCACTGTCCAACATAAAAAGAATTCTCTCCTTTTCAAGGAAATGTGAATAACCACCACAGTTCAGCTTGAAGGGGATGCATGAGAGATCTTAACCTGCATGTTTCTGTTAGTTTTGAAGGAAAGTCATACCTTTACGAATTGTTACTTCTTTCTTTTCCTTCTTTTCAGCTGTAATTGCTGGTGGTTTTCGCTCAGGCACAGGCTTTTTAGGAACTTCAACCACTTTAAAAATAATAACATTGCTTAATGATGAAAAATGCATTGTCTAAACGCTCAATACACACAAACATTATTAGTTATACCATTATAAGTTTATGAAGTTGAAAAACACACAGAGTTTTGGAGATCCAATTGTTGCAGGAAAATTTTCTGCTTATTTCCGAGTTTGATGGTTTCTCATCAGAGCCAAATTGTGTTCCTAGAGGCATACGTTACTCCTACCCAAGACAGTTAAAGCATGCAAGGAATTGTGACATACAGCTATTAACATCAAGCAATTAAGGTGTGAAACATTTAACCTAAATCAAGTTTATCTAGAATACATGCAAATGATAGAAAAAATATCCAAAACAACTAAAAATGACACGTATCCTTTTAAACTATTAACTCATATTAGGTTTTAAAGATGTCTCTATCTGCAAATTCCATTGGCAACTAAATTACAGTGTATCAATTTCTATCTGCATCTATACCTTGCCATATTAGAGTCCATGTCTCATCATCAAGAGCCAGTTAAAACTTGGCAGCATATTAAGGTTCAAGTTATTGTAACAAAAAAAAAAAAAAAAATCCAAGAAATGCTGCCTGGCTCAAAATTTTTGGGCTTAATAATAAATATAAGAAAAGAGAAGAAATAAAATGGTATGATAATTAAAATACCTTCTTCATGAATGACCCGTTTTTCTTCATAAGTCACTTCTCTTTTCTCATAAGCTTCTTCCCACTCCTCTTCCCCTTCATCATAGCCTTCTTCCTTGACATAATAGTCATGGTCTTCTCCATAATCTTCTTCCCATTCTTCGTAAGTTTCTTTGGGCTTTTCATATATTTCCTTCTTTTCTTCATGGATCTGTTCTCTCCTTGCCATGGATGTTATTTTGATCTCTTTGGGCTTCTCTGGCAGCACCTCAGAAACTTAAAAAAAATTAATAAAATAGATTATTCATATCATAGCCTGGAATTTGCAAGGGGTATTGGATGTTCGCAGTTAATTAAATTATTTCATCCTCACAGATGGTTTAAAGAAGTGACTATTTTTTAAGCAGTCCTAATCAGCTTGGATTTTAAATATGTATGTTTTTAACATAAAGACAAAAATCAAACAGATGTGATTGATTCAAGGTAATTCAAAACAAATTGCCTTGTTTCCACAATGTAATTTTACTATTTTTAAAAAAGTTTTTTTTAAAAAAAAGGTTACCTTTAGGCGGTGGGACTTCTTCAGGACCTTTTTTAACCACCTTTTTGGAGACTTTCTTTACTGGAACCTTTTTTTCTGCTTAAAAACAATATATTTTAAAATTTAAATTAAAAAAAACCCAAAACAAATCAACAGTCATAATGAAACATGCACACATTGTCCAAATACTTTAAGTATTCTTACCTGGCTTTTTCTCCTCTGGTGTTGGAATAAGAGGCAGAAGAATAGGAATAGGGGCAGCTTGTAGGAAAAATTAAATATTTAGAATAAAATGTGAGTATGATGTTTTCTTGTAAATGAAGAAAAATCCTAGTGCATTTGGAAAATAGATGAGATTATTTTATTACAATTGCAGAATAAAAGCAAACATGGTGCTCATTCTGACAGTTTACTGTAGCTGGAAGAATATATTTTGAGTGGGAATTCTCAGTCTACCTTTATTTGAACCATGACCCTTCTCAGCTTTGTTTTCTTTACTGCCATCACTCTCCTATCTTTGCTGATAGTAATTAATTTAAATATCAAATCTTTTCCTTCCTGCTGCCACTGCAAGCATTTACCGAATTATCCTGGAAATGAAACCAAGAAGATTGAACTTCTAAGGTTCATAGTAAACTATTGAACGTAACAGAAATACACATAATGTTTGTAGTCTGTAGTCCAATACCAGAGCCTGGGGAGAGACCATTTGCAGTAAACATGCAATACATTTTATGGCTTTAAAAGAATATTTGTATTTTATTTTCCTTTTTTTTTCAAGGCATAGTAATTCAGACAGCTTGCTTAAAAGATATTTCTGTGGCGAAAAGAAGAAAAGGTGAAAATAAAGAATGATCAGAAGAGGAAAATGGAAATAAAAGGAAGATGGAATAAACAAGAGACTGATAGGAAAACAAGATGGAAAGGACAAACTCTTTTTAAGAGAAAAGGCTTCATTCCTACCAGTACCTGTGTATAGTTTTCACCTTCCACACAGCAAAACAAGCCTATTCAAGCCAAGCCTTCCTCATATCATATTTGTATAGAGACAATTAACTGGATCTTATCACTGAGCTGTCTAATGTTTTTCTCTGAGGTTCCCACTGGCCTGCTGCTTCAGTGCAGATATAAAACAGCACTACGGTACAAGTATGGTTTGTTACCCTACCTTCAGCTTGTTTTTGAGGTGGAACTGCAACCTTGGCATCAGGAACATCTAGAAAACCAAAATGTTTAGTTTACTTCATAAAAAAAAATAGATTTGAATATGCTGTCCCCAAGAATAGTAGTTCATGGTGCTTTAATCTTTCTGTTCTATCATACAAGGATGGTAGCTTACTCCTCAAGAATAAGCTAGCTGACCAATAGATAACTAATTTCTGTCTGGCCAGACTCTACACTGTTTCATTTTATTTCTAAATAATTCTTGCATCATTTTTGGAGTAGGTTCTTAAGAACATTCAGAAAAGACGACCACTATATATCATAAGGAGATGATTGCTACTCATTTTGCCTACCTTGGTTATTTTTTTTCAGTTGTGCAGAGGACATAGAATCTATTAATTGGTCTATTCCTCATTGTTCTATTCCTCAGTCATTCAAACAAAAAAAAACTTTCGTGTTTTAGAGAATGTGGCTTCCCATATTGTACAAAATAGGACCCCAGACACATTAATATCACTGATTTTGGAGTTATCACAGCATTCATTGCCACTATTTATGAGAATAAGTAGTTCCTCATATCTATGGATGAGGAATATTTTTTCAGGGTGTAGGTTTGACTTACTATAACCAGGAAAAAAGGGTTTGAAAATAAAAAATAAAGCAGAGCAATGCACTATATCTGTGACAGAGTATAGACATGACCTTGTGCCAGTCTTGCTCATGATCTTTACCTGGCGGCTTCAACTCCAGCTTGATTTCTGCAAAAGAATATTTGATTTCTTTTAGGACTATTTATTTTTCCAGAATCATGTTTCAAACTCACAAATTTGCAGAAGGCTATGATCACAAATTTGTTTAGCAAATTCGCTAACCTTTGGTTACCAGATAGAGCTCTGCAGTGCTTCTTGCTTCTCCTCTTGGTTCAAGACGAGCAATTACAGAATATACACCTGCAATAGCCAAGTATGTCGATATTTATATGCCTTTATCATTAAAAAAACAGACAACAAAATCAGATAAAAGAATGGCATTAGCACAAATATTCCACGCATTTTTACCTTCATCTTCTGCAGTAACATTGTGAATAGTCATATAATGACAGCGGCCTTCACTTCTGAAGCTGTACTTGGGACTCTCTCTCAGTTCAGTGGGGCCTTTATACCATGTCACAACTGCATCATCAAAAGACACCTCACACTCAAAGGTTGCAGACTGGTGTTCACTCACTACAATGTTCTGTATGCTCTTTGTGAACTGAATTGGTTCAGCTGTTTTTAGAAACAAAAAAGATATAAATCGTTATGCACCACCAGGCCATTTAGCTTATCTAATTCCTTCTCATTGTTTTAATAATAATAGCTACATTATAATAAGAGGTAATAACAACAGATCTTGAAAAAGTAGAGTAAGAAAAAGGGATTCCATCTTCTATGAAGTTTTCTATGTAAGAATGAAGATTAGAAGACATAAGAGTACAACGATAACAAGATTGCTGTGCAGATAAATTGTACAAGAGAAGCAATTAAGGAAATTAAAGATAAAGAATAATTAAGAAAAAGAGGAAATCCAAGGAAAATATAAGAGTATCAGAGAGAAAGAAAATAACAGCAAGAATGACTCAGATTGTTTGAGGGCCAGGGGACACTAGCAATGATGATTTAGTTAAAGATACTAGCTTACACACAAGTATGTCAGATATTGTTCAAAGTAAAATTTCTTGTTTAGTCCGTTTCCAAGTTTGGGAATATCTCTTTAAGAAATTATTTTTATTTTCATTTGTTCTGTTAATGGAACATCCAGAAACTGTTTATCACTACCGTAATAAAGAGATTCTGTATCTGTTTACAAACCTTCAATGGCCAGATCTGCAGTTGTTTCTAGATCGTCAAGCTTGCAGGTATACTGTCCTTGGTCTTCTGTTCTAACATCCTTGATGATGAGTTTGTGTACTTTGTCAGAGATTTGTGTTGAATATCTCCCTCCTATCTTAATGGGTCTCCCATTTCTATACCACTGAGACTTGGCATTTGGGATAGAGAACTGACAAGACAGCGTGCATGTGTTTCCTTCCTTGAAAGTAGTGTCATGAAGATGCCGTTCAACTGCAGGTTCTATTAGCATGTTAAAACATACATTTTAGCAGACATCAGACAGTGGAATAATTAAAATGTAAATTAATTCAAATACATACTTGAAAATTACACTTACCGATCACAGTTAGCCTGGCACTGGCGATGTGTGGTCCACACACTATTCTGAAATTTCCCTGATCTTCAAGTTGGCAATTCCTGATTCTCAGTATGTGGCGATCACCTTCAACTCTAATTTCATATTTTTCACTGGAGTCCAGTTTCTGTGTTCCCTTGTACCATGAAAGTTTAATTTCCGGATAGTTAATTTTAATCTCACATTCAAAGATAGCATCCTCATCTGTTAAAACCATCTGATTTTCAATGTCTTTGATCAGAGTAATAGGCTGAAAAATATTAGTTTAAATTAGTTTCAAATTCCCTGTTATGGGTTTGAATATTTCACAAATCAGCCCAAAAATATGTTACCTCTGTCTGTGAGAGTCGTTGCTGAATAAAAGCTACAAGTTCATCAAATTCCTGATCTTCTCTTCGAGCTTTTTCTGTGAGTTCAATTTCCTGTAAAAAGCCAGAATATACTCGAAGATTAAAGGATACTAAATGTCAAGCTGTCATGTTTATCCAACATAGAATTAGTTCCTACATCATATTTTCTGTAACTGTACTGTAACTAGCGTTATCTTCCCATCTTAAAAATTACAGCCAAGTTATGGAGACAGAACATACTTGACCAGAAGGCCCATTCCTTCTTCTTGGGTTTGAGCATGCAAGAAATGAAGAACTGTCAATAAAAGATCTAAAGAGGAACCAGATATTCTTGCACATGCAGTTACATCAGAGCATGGACACCAAGTGTGTTCAAAGGAACCATGTTACTCCTAACAAAGCCAGTGCTGCAGTCACGCCGTATCTTACCAATCTATGGCTTTCTTCTGCTTGGGTTTGCTTTAGTAACTCAAAGGCTTGCAGGAGGCCACGGAAATCTGTAATTCCATACATGCGAGCATATTTCTCGTATTCTTTGGGATCTACATTTTTGAGAAGTTCCAAGATATCAATAGGTTGATCTTCCTCTTCTTCCTTCCTTTTTGTTGGAGTGCTATTCAAATCAATGACATAAGTTAAATATACAAGGTTTCGTTCCTAGAAAGTTGTTTACTGAAAAAAAGCATCAGCTTAGAGCTGCCCTGTGCAGTGGAATCCTTTAGTTTAGTCTAGTCAGGTGCTTCTATTTTTAGTACTCTTATTCATATTTACTGAATATTAAAAAATTATATCTTGGTCTGAGATACATAATAAAAAATGTTTCTTCTGTGTTGATGGCAAGTTAATCTATAAAAACTTTCCATATACCTTTTAAGTTTTGCCCTGAGATCCCCTTCAACAACTTCTTTCTTTCTTTCTTCAACTTCTAGGTTTACACTCCTCTCAATTTCACCATGTTGGTTAAAAGCTACACATTTGTACATGCCAGAATCAGTTTTTATTGCATCCTTTATTGCTAGTTTGGCTTCATCTCCTCTCTGCTGGATTATAACGCGACCTCCCTGGTTGAGTTGCCTCCATTTTCCCTTCATCCATTTAACATTCGGAATTGGGTCTCCTCCAACTTTTGCAATAAATGTTGCAACAGTCTCTGCAGAAAGATGCAAATTAGAAAGCTAAGTCTTTCCAGCTGTCTATGACAGCAGGACATAATCTCAAACAAAAGGTATAGGCAAAGAGAAGACAATGTCCTTTTTTGAAAAGAGTTCTTACTTTCCATGACTTTGATACTCTGAGGCTCTGACACAAAATAAAGTTTTCCTTCCACTTCTGCTTTCTTAGCTGCTGGTGCAGCTGCTGGTTTTTCTAAAAAACAGAGTCAAACAATTAAAACAGATGGTTTCATGTAATAGTTTATGTTCATGCGTGATGATGCTTCCAAAGAAATTGTAAAAAAGGAATTAATTACGTAGATGGAATAAAATATTGTGCAAGAGATAAAAATGCAAAATACTTTCATACTGTTTTAACTAACTTGTATTTTACTTTCCAGATGAAACTGAACACTGTGGGCCATAGTGTGCAGTTCATTAACTTCAGTCAGGTCATTTATACTCTGCATGGATGTAAATTCATAGATGGATATGCAAATAAGAAGCCTCATTTTCTAAAATGGGTCAGTTTTTAGTGAGGTATTCTCTTTTCTGTCTATTTCTGGAAATTTCACCCTAGAATTTAGCCAAGAGTTACTTGCATTTTTTTAACAATGATCTGTTAAATTAGTTTTTTTTTCCTTTTGCATAGTTCTTAGCCTTGCGGCTACCCATGTAGTGAAAAAGATACTATTTCTACATATTACTGAATTCTTATGTCTTTTATGCAATGGTAAGACAAGACCTACATGGAAGGACTCATGCTTAGACAATATTTGCTTTCAGCTAAAAGGTCAAAACGTCTTAGAGTTGTAACAGTCCTGAAGCAATTAGCCTCTAAGACCACACGCTCAAATTCTTTTTGTATTTTCCTCTAACAAACGCCACTGTTCCCATCCTTTCCATAAAATATGCATGTCCAAGTAATTTCACTCATTTAGCTTGCATTTTTCTTAAATTCAGTGTTTAGATTTAGAAACTAAATTCTTACTTGTTTCGGTGAGAATATACTATTGGTTTGACACTGATCTCCCACTGTTTATGTCACTATTTATACATAAATTATTGTTAAATATACTGTCTTCCCAGATTGTACAGTTTTGCAAAGAACTAAAAGATACTAATTGTTTGCTATTAGATTATTAACATTTTTGTTCCACAGAAAACAAAGTAGGATGGAATTTTGTTTTAAATTTCCAACATATGCCTTGATTTTCTCCATGTTACTGTACCTTTAACTGTCACTTTAGATTTGCAAGTATCAGTGCCAGCTGTATTTGAAGCTTTGCATACATATTCTCCTAAATCGGATTTGGTAACTGCAGCAAGTTCCAGAAGAGCTATTCCATTAGCAAAGCTGAAGTTGCATCTGTCTGAAGCTCTTATTTCTCTCCCTGCCTTCAGCCACTGAATCCGGATTGGCTGCGATCCTTGGACGTGGCAGCGGAGCTGTAGGGTATCACCTTCCTCTGCTGCTGCTGGCTGAAGAGGCTGGTCAAAAACTGGAGGCTTTTTAGGTTCTGGAATATGAAAATGCTTGAGTGAATACTCAAGGAAGGAAAGTATGATTAAGAATGTAAGAGAGAGAGATATACATGTGATTCTTAAGAAGACAGTGGCAAGGAATGAAGGAGGATAAACAGAAGTCTGAGGATGTCAATGATAGATTTAGAAAAGGAAATAAATATCAAGAGAACATGTTTTCTATGCAAACATGCAAGAAATATTTTTTCTCCACACAGCAAGGATATTCACATGCAAAAAATAGCATAAGAACTAAAGTGCTGCTACTAGGCTGCAAAACTATACGAGCACCTTTAAAGAAACAAATATGCAATCTCCTGCAAGAGTATTATAATGAAGTGCCGTGCTGCCACAACACACTGTCAAGGCTGCCCAAACTTAGATGTAATTGCACAGAAAAACTGTTATGCCATGAAAAGAGAACAATTAAAAATTCAACAGAACTGTCACATAAAGATTTCAATGTCCATTTTAGATTAGTCGTAGCAAATAGTGAAAAAGTAAAAAAGCCCCTCCCTAAAAAATATTGTTTTATTTTAATCACAAAATTAAAAGGATTCCTTGATTTTGTGTTTTAACTCAGGACAAATTACTGCTGTTAAGGTAAGTAAAACCCGCTCATAAGATAGAAGCTGTATATTTGCAGCTAACATACAACAAAGAAAAGTAAGAAGTGAAGAAAAATAAGACTTCAACTAACCTCCGATAACAACAGAAGATGTACACAACACACTTCCTGCTTCATTGGACACTTTACAGGTATATAAACCAGCATCTGATTGCTCTACGCTCTTTATATGCAAAAGTAAGGTATTGTTTTTGAAAGATATTTCACAATGAGGGCTTGAATGAACTTCCTGATTATTTTTATACCAAGCAACAGTCAAAGGCTGAGAGCCGGAAACACGACCCTCAAGTTTAAGTTCATTCCCTTCTGTTTCTTCTACTGCTTCAGACAGTTTCTTAGTAAAAGTAGGTGGAGTTTTTCGTTCTGTAAAAAAAAAGAACATATTATTCAAATTTTATGAATCAAACCTGAAATGAAAAATTCTTAAGAAAATGTTTCAAGAAAAAATTCAGCATTGGGGAACTGATATTTGCTCTCATTTAAATAGGATTTTTTTTTAAAGTGAAAGTATGCCAAGATAAAGAGCAGGTGTCTTGCTCTTACAGTCACTGTCATAGTTGATTTTCCTATTTGAAAAAAAAAATCCTCTTACGTTGATTTAAGTCAAATGCCATCTAAAAATACCAAGATTTTTGTTGAGTTCTCAAGAAAAAAATAAGCTGAAGCCTACAAAGAAACTAGGCCAAAGAAAATATTCTTCCATTTCTCCTCCCATTGTTGTTAGTGACCCTTCCTAATTCCCTTAAGGGACTCATGGGTATCTCCAGATAGGTACTTTCAAGCTACACCTCAAAAGTTTTCTCAAACTTATCTTGCAGCAGTAAGACTAATGTCCTGTATAATTAAAGGAAGAAAAATGTACACACAATGTATTATCTATTCAGTACCTTTAACAGTCAGTTGAGCTGTGCAAGAGTCCTTTCCGACTTCATTGCTAGCATAGCACGTATACTTTCCAGAGTCTCCCCTGTCAACTCTCAAGATGGTCAAGTGGGCTGTGTTGTCTACATAACTGATCTGGTAGTTTCTTCCTGTTCTAATCTCTTGGTTATCTTTTGCCCAAGTGACTCTAATAGGCTGTGTTCCAGAAACGTGACACTCAAAGTCAGCACTTTCTCCAATAATACCATCCACAGGTGTAATTGGGATGTCAAAGAATGGAGGAGTCTTCCCTTCTGAAGAGTGAAAGAAATAAAAATGCATCACTTTAAAATCTCGAATTGCTTTAAACCTCTGGGAAATAAATATTATTTGTACAATATTAAATCCATATATGAAGCAAAAGTGAGTTTTAAGATATTTCTGTTAAATATTTCACAGCCCACTGACCTGTAAGGAAAAGCCTGCCACTAGCAGAAGCAGTCCCAATCGCATTGGTAGCTGTGCAGGTATATTGCCCAGTAAGGCTCCTATCTGTCTTCAAAATCTGGAGAGTTGCTGCATTATCTACGAAGGATGTGTGAACATTGTAGTCGTCTTTTACACGTACACCGTCTTTAAACCAAGACACTTCAATAGGTTCTGAACCAGCAATGCCGCAATCAAATGTAACCGGTAAGCCAACAGTTTCATGAACATCTCTTAATTTTCGTGTAAAAGAAGGAGGAAGTTTACGCTCTGTAAGAAAACAGGTATTGTACAGTGAGGGCTTTCAGAAGATATGCACCTATTGCTGTACTCACCAATAATCCCTACCTAATATACTGTAGAGTATGCTGGATTTTTGCTCATAACTTCTGATTAAAAATGTTATTCAGCATATCATTTATTTGGAACCTGATGTGAAAAGAGCAGTGTGCATACGGTTGCAGGAAAATATATAACCATTCTGCCCTCAGTTACACCCAGTGAGCCTATTTATCCCTCAGGACTGCTAACGGTGAAAACAATCAAAGCAATATCCTCAATGGGGAAGGAACATGCAGAAGCTTGTATCTCTACCGAAGAGCTGTGGTCAGTAAGAGACGTTTTTTTGGTTAGCTTTACTGGTAGGCCTTCGGTAATAGAAGACAGTGCCACAGGGTATCTTACACATCAAGAATCAGTAAAGTATTTAACAAGGAAAAGGTAATCTTTGTTTTTTGAAATAGCAAAGCATACTTAAGAAAAATAGGCCATTTTCCTATTTTTTAAAATGAAATATTCACCTTGAACTGTCAGCAAAGATGATGAAGCAGCCTCCCCAACAGTGTTTTCTACTTTGCAGATGTACTCCCCACTGTCACTACTGTCTACCTGGCTGAAAACCAGAGTGGCAACTTGGTTCCTAAAGTGCATTTTCACAGTAGCAGTTCCTCTTAGCTTTGTATCGCCTTTGTACCACGATACAATCATTTCTGGTGTTCCAGCAACCTGGCACTGTAAGGACGCAGAATCCCCAACAGTCACCTGCGCTGGCTCCAAGGGTGTAATGAAGTAAGGTGGTTCTGAAGAACAAACACACACCATTAGCATAAAAAGGTATTGCACAATGACCATTAGAAGTTCAAATAACACTTGATGAAGTGATGGTGTCTTGACGCACCTAGTATTGTGATTGCACCATGACAATTATCTTGTCCAGAATCATTTTCAATATGACAAGAATATTGTCCCTGATCTTCTAGTTTGCTACCGGGGATTTCCAGTATGGCAGATGTTTCTGTTGTGGTGATGCTACACTTTTCAGAGTGTGTTATTTTTACTCCATTTTTCTTCCATGTCACTGAAATTGGTGGAGTACCCGTATATGCGCATTCCAAGATTAAATTTTTCCCTTTCTCTACACTTAAATCGTTCACCTTCTTCACAAATTTGGCAGGTTCTATAATGAACAATGGGAAGAAAACAAATTAAATAAAGACAAGAGATCATTTTTAGAAGCACAAGCAGCATAAGAAACTGTAGTCTGGACAAACCTTTGACAAAAAGATGTGTTGTGCAAGAAATCTTCCCTGCCTCATTAGAGACCTGGCAGGTGTAGTCTCCACTCTCAAGTGGATGTACATCAAACAGCTCCAGTTCTGCAATTAAATCTTGCAAGGTGATATTGCATCTGTGTCCTGGTACTAGCTCAAGACTACCTCTAAACCATTTAACTTCCAATGGAGAGGAGCCTTTTATGATACTGGTAAAGGTTATGTTTGCCCCAGATAAAACATTCAGTGGTTCAGGTTTCTTCACAAAAGATGGTGGTTCTAAGCATGCAAATAAAAAAGACAGAGAAGAAGTACATTTGAATTTCTGATGAAGAGCACAGAAATCAGAAATATGTAACAAAGCAAAGAACGAAGTATTTTTGAAAATAAATTTGTGCCCTCTGACTCTGGCTTCTTATTGATACTGACCTCTAACACTCAAAAATGAGCTGCATTCATCAGACCCAGCTACGTTAGTAGCTGTGCACAAATAAGTTCCCATATCAGATTCCTGAAGTCCATTCACTTTCAGAGAACAGGTATTGTCTGTAAGGGTAGCCTGATACTTGTCTCCACTGGTAATCTCCTGTCCATCATGAAACCAGGAAACCAGAATAGGTGGTGACCCATAAACTTTGCACTCCAGTACAGCAGCAGCACCCAGCTGACCATACGTTTCTTTCAGTTTTCTTGTGAAAGAAGGAGGTATAATACGGTCTGCATTTGTTTAAAAAAAAAAGAAAAATTACCATACAGCAGCTTAAAATGAAAAAAGTTCCCCATGCGTAATAAAATCAGTTAACTTTCATTTGATGTGTCTGCTTTAGCAATCTGCTCCTACACACCTAAGTCATTGAAAAATTGATAGTTGATGGTTAAAGACATGCTAGAGCTTTCATTCACACTTTTTGAGGGACACCTTTTATTTTTGCAGTTCTTTTTCATAAGCAACAATATTGCACCCGCTGTCCAAGAAGACATGTAAATTAAAGTTGAAGAAATTAAGTCCTTGCAACAACTTCTGCCCCTCAGAGGTTAGGTAGGCATCTATTCTTGATGCCTGTCAAAGTGGTATACCAAGTACTCCTAAGATTATACAAGCAATGAGTCTCTCAGGCTGCCAATCATGAGAAACTGTTTCCTATCTGAAGGCTTTGTAAAAGCACTATAGGGTCAGATGTGACTCAAAAAGAGTAATCAACTAACCTGAAACATGCACTGAAGCTGTGCAGCTGCTTTTACCAATACTGTTTTTCACCTCAAAAGTATATTCTCCACTGTCTTCTAGTCCTGCATTGAGGATCTTAAGCCCAGATACTTTGTTGAAGAAACTGATTTTATATTTATGGTCAGTGGACAGTTCGTTCCCATCCTTAAACCACCTAGCAGTAAGCTCTGGTGTGCCGTCTACTGTGCATTCCAGAGTACAAGAGTCTCCAGCTGTAACTTTGACTGGGCCTGGCTTCTCTACAATGACTGCAGGTTCTGCAACGAGATGCAAGTCACAACATTTTCAAAAACAACAATGCAATAGTTATTAGTATCATAACAATTGAAATTTTAAAGCATCTTAAAACATTGTGGTTTTTATCCCATGCTACCAACCTAGCACTGTCAGCGTGGCAAAGCATTCCTGAACTCCAGCATCATTTTTTATCTGACAAATGTATTTCCCAGCATTGGCTGGTTCCGCATTTCCAATCCGCATAGTTGCAATGTTTTTGGAATAGGAGATCCAAAGATTATCACTTTCTCTAATGATTTCCCCTTTGTCTTTTAACCACAGAACAGAAATGGGCTGTGATCCTTCTACTGCAGCCTGCAGTTCAATCGACTCCCCAACTACGACAGTGACATCACTCAGCTTCTTCACAAAGGTTGGTGGTGCTATGTAAGAGAAGATATTTAACAGTAAAAAAACACGCCAGGAGCGGAAAAGTAGGAGGAGAATGACAGGAACAATGAAATGCCAAGAAGGTGCCAATATTTATACAAACCTCTTAGTGTTACAGAGCCAATACAGGAGTCACTTCCCACATCATTTACAGCTTTACAGTGATATTCACCGACATCTGCAGTGTCCACACTGAGAATGTGAATACTAGCTAGGTAGTTCTCGGACATGACCTTATACTTCTTGCTGCTCCGAATTTCTCGTTTGTCTTTATACCATGAAATCTGGAATGGAGGAGTGCCCTGAAGCTCACATTCCAGGTGAATATCAGACCCTTTCAAGGTCTGGACTGGATGGGGCTTCTTCGTAAAAATGGGGGGTGCTGAAAAAAGAAGAAAGGGTTAAAGTTTGTGTTATTTGATCAAAGGAGATAAAGAGGACAGACTGTGCAAGCAGCTGTTCTGATGCTGAACAGCAAAGACAAACCATAAATAAGAAAGATCTCTCACAACATAACAAACAGGCAAGAGATTTGCCATTTATTCAGACCGGTTTTGGCCTCTCTGACTAAAGAAAGTGGGATTTAACAGCTTTTCCACAAAGGAGGACTCATACAGATAGAAAGGTAAGGAAAGAACTGGGATTCTGACCTTTTACTTTCAGTGAGGTACTGGTGCTCGCACTACCCGCCGGATTCTGAGCTTCGCAAGTATAGTCACTACTGTCCTCAACACTGAGGTTGTGCATTTCAATGACTGCGACAGAATCCACAAAGGACATTCTGTATTTTTCACTGGGATGGATCTCAGTTTCACCTTTGTACCAGGTGACTTTGATTTCTGGAGATCCACCTATTTTGCATTCATACTTAGTGGAATCATGCTGTTTCACAAGTCTTGAGGAGTCCAGTTTCTTAATAAACCTTGGTGGTTCTGGAAAGCCAAAAAGGGGAGATGATGCTTTAAACTGCTTTGATTCTTTGAATAAGCAGGGAAATATGTAACAGAAAATGTAAACTTTGGGGAGTTATGCAAACATTCTAATTTTGCAATTGCTATGAAATATTTTTTAGGTGCTTTCAAGTTGGTCCAAAATCTAGATTAGGAAGCAAACAAATTCTCGATCTGCATTGCAGTTAGTTTCTCCTTACTTTATTGTCCCACTCTACTTCACCTTCTGTGTATTCAGTATAGATCAGCTGACATGTAATATCCTCTTGCAATACATGAGTAGTCAAATGGAAATGCAAGAATCCAAACTGTCCAGCCAAGAAATATTATTAAGAGCATTTATGCTGAGCATTATAACAACAGCTTTATATCTTAATATGTCATTAACTATTGATAGTCAATAAATGCATTTGCATTATAACCCTTCACACATTTATTGCAAAGCCAAACATGAAGGTGCATATAAGGAATAAAAGTCAAGGAGCTTAGGTAGCAACAAAAGAGGTTCAAAATAATCATGCTGGGAAGAATTATGAGATGGCTGGTATTACAGAAATTGGTGTTAAAGGCCCTGTGACTGAAAAGTAAACCAGATGGTTACATTTTGTTCTGTAAGGAGAGAAAGGAGTGGAGGTTTGACACTTTTCATCAAAAGTACCATACCGATGATTCAGAATCACAGGATTGAATGCTCATAGATCAAAGATATAACTAGTAAAACCAAGAGGTGGTAATGTAGGCACAACAAACAAATCTCTTTGCAAAACAGGATGAAGTGCCTCTTTGTGCATCTGTCTGTAAAGTGTAGGAAGCATATCTATTTTATTGTGGGTTACTTCAACCTGTGGGACATTTGCAGAACATCCTATGTTGTTAGTAACAATACTTCCTTAGAGTTTCTAAAAAGAGAAACGATGGCTTGTTAACATGATGACTCTTGGAACCTTAGTAATTTACTATCAGATTTCACTTTGACAAAGAGTTGGTTATCTATCTGCATGTTAACAGTTGCTGAGTAGTCACACTCTAATTCCATTCCTTTCCAAAAATGACGATATACAAGTTAGTAAGATATATACTTAGAATGTAAAGCAGTTTTTAGAACTTAAAGCAATTGTTAAAGCTACAGATTGGGAACATTAGATGTTGAAGTGGGAAAGTTAATAAAAAACTGGGAGATTTTCAAGATCAATGGAATAAAAGATCTTAATTCTACAGAAAAAAGGCTGTGTGTCATAGAAATGTGACAGCATCTGCTCAAATTAAACACATGCAAACACATGCAAACAGCTTGTCCTTCCAAGTTCTATAGAAACTGGCTGACAAACAATGAACATCATTAATTTTGCAGCTCTGGGGAAACTGTACAAACTCTAAAGGATTGAAGTGAGTGCAAGTGTAAGTTCAGGATCAGAAAAGAAAATAATAATCCTGGGGAAAAAAAAAATAATGTCAAGATTTTATGAATAAAGAGTTGAACAGTAAGAAGGTAAATAAGGTCAGTCAGGATCATTTTATGAATAGTAACTCTGGTCAAATAAACTTATTAGTAATGTTATCATTAATAATAAACAGAATTGTGATTCTGGTGGAAACAAGCTTTAAATCTTTTAAAGAGGTTAGATTCCTTGCTATAAACTTTCAATGCCTTTTGTAAGTCAAGCTACATAATAACAGCATCCCCACTTGCCACTGAATTCACAGGTAATTCAGTCTGCCACACTCTTCCCACCCCCACCAAGAAAAATCCCTATGGATAGAATATGCTCTAGATATATATAATACATTTGACAAGCAATTATTACAAAATCTTGTTAGTGGTAGTTCAGCTTCTTGTGTTATTTGTCATAGAGAGTAAAAGCCATAGTATTTACTCTTCAAACGTGTTTGGGTTTTTCCCCCCCCAAATTCACACAAAGGGAAAAAAAAAGAAAGCACTAAACCAACAGAGACATTTGAACTCATGAGTAATTTAAGCAGTGTATTTTACATCCGTTCTTTTATAAAATCAGTAAGAATGAGATATCCGGAACAGCTATAAATAAATCCAATGTTCCCACCAACATTGAGGAAATTACACTAATATACAAGCGTCACTTGTACCAAGACAGCTTGATCCAGTCATAAATTTAGATCATTGAAATGTATAAGATCCACACACTATGTGGAGAAGCGAAGTGCTGGCAGAATGGATATTTGTCACCAAGTTTGCCCTCAGATCCTCCAATTTTGCTGTCTAGAACTGCAGTTTTCAATGTTTTCAGTCTTTGAAAGAGTAAAACTATTTGCAGAAGCTGCACACCCAGTAAAAATACATTTAAGTCTCATAAGTGAACTGAGTTTCTCTCAGTTACCTTTCCTTCCCCTGGACAACTTAGTGAATGTCACTGCTGGAGAAAGACTTTAAGGAAGACAGATTTTGCTAGACAACAGGGCCACTCATAAAGGTGCAACAGGGTACTAAGTCAGAGTTAACATTTCAATGGAAGAATCCCTTTGATAAGACAAATCACGCACTATACCAGACCAGAATAAAGATGAATAAGTATTTAAGTATTACAACAATATTTAAATGAAATAAGACATCTCAATATAGCCTCTTGTAAAGGTTGTTAGTCTCACACATGTCTGCATTCAAGGCTTTTTTTTTCTGGGTGTCTGCCTTGCAAAGAAAAGCCTTATGAACACTAAAGCTCACAGCAATACCTTGTACAGCCAGCTGAGCTGCGCATTTGTCCTTTCCAACGCTGTTGCTGGCAGTACATGTGTAGAGTCCAGCATCCCCTTTACTGACTTTTAGGACTGTCAAGCTGGCTGTGTTTTCCACCAACGTCATCTTGTAGTTGCCACCTGGGCGGATCTCTCTGTTGTCTCTGGTCCAAGTAATCCTCATGGGAGCAGAGCCAGTCACGTGGCACTTAAAGGTTGCACTTTCCCCTAGCGCCACATCAATAGATACTGGCTTGATGTCAAAGAAGGGAGGATGTAGTTGTTCTGCAAAGAGGAAAGCATGGCAGAGCTCACCACCAAGCCCTCCTCACCACACACCTCACCATGCCATGCCCATGCTCCCTGGCCACCATACAATGGGCAGAGTGGGAAAAATGGTGAAGAAATAAAAGAGCAAAGACATACCAAAGATCTTTGTTTAAGTGTGAACTACAAACCTGTGAGGAGAAGCTTGGCACTGGAAGATGCAGTCCCCAGAGCGTTTTGGGCTGAGCAAGTATATTGGCCACAGTAAGCCATACTAGTTTGCAAGATCTGGAGAGTCGCAACATTATTTAAGAAGGCTGATTGCATATTATCACTGTCGCTTAAGAGAACCCCATCCTTGTACCAAGACACGTGAATAGGCTCTGAGCCGTTTATGCGACAATCAAATGTCACTGGGGCACCAACTGCCTCTTGAATATCTTTCAGTTTTCTGGTGAATGTAGGGGGAAGTTGACGTTCTGCAAAACAATAATAATCACCACTATAAGTAGGAGGCCACCCTGTCAATCTAGAATTAGTTAACTCTGAAATTAATAAGAACCCCTTTCTGTAGACAACAAAGAGTTCCTACAAACTACCCCAGGCAAGAGTGGGCCTTGGTCCATCACCTTTAACAACAAGCAAAGCTGTGGAAGTGGCGAAGCCAACGCTATTTTCTGCTTTGCAGATATATTCTCCAATGTCACTATCCTCCACGGTGGAGAATGCCAGTGTTGCCACATTATTCTTGAAGTGCATTTTGCAAGCCTGTGTTGATCTGAGCTTGGTGTCATCTTTGTACCAGGACACCTTAATTTCTGGCGCACCACCAATCTGGCATTTTAAGATCACGGGCTCGCCAACCTTCACCTCCACGCGGTCCAGGTGCGTGACAAAATAGGGTGGTTCTAGGGAAGGAGAGAGCATGGTAAGCAGAGGCAGAGCATCACTGGGGTGCTTTAGGGGGACCAGGGGTGATGTGTACCTAAGATAGATACAAGGCTGTGGCAAACATCCCCACCCGCCTCATTTGCCACCTCACAGGTGTATTCGCCTTCATCGCTCTTGGTGCTGTTGAAGATTTCAAGAATGCCAGATTTGTCAGTAGTTGTAACGCTGCAGCGTGGAGACTGAGCAATGGGCATGCCATTTCGTTTCCAGGTGACAGAGATGGGAGGGGTGCCTATGTAGCCACTTTCCAACACGATGGACTTTCCCTGCTCCACACTGAAATCACTTAATTTCTTCACAAAGACTGCAGGCTCTGCGGGGAGGCATAGATCAATAGTGAGAGGGACAGATGTGGCAGGGCTGCAGGCAGAGCATGAAGGGAGATACCTGTGTGTACACACACATACACACACAGAGAAACACACCTTTCACAAAGAGTTGGGTTGTGCATGAGGCACTGCCAGCATCATTTGTGACCACGCAGGCATAGTCACCGCTGTGGCCTGGCTCCACATTGTACAGCTGCAGACGTGCCACAGACTCGTCCAGAGCGATGGAGCAGTTGCTGTCTGGCACCAGCTCCCTGATGCCTCGGAACCAGGTCGCTTTGAAGGGAGTACTGCCCTTGATGTAGCTGGTGAATGTCACACTTGATCCGGGCAAAACTTCCTGAGGATCAGGTGTCTTCACAAAAGAAGGTGGTTCTAAGGATCATGCAAAGAAATGAAGAGGGAGAGAAAGATGTTAATAGGAGAGTCACTGTGGGGGTGGAAAACTGGAGCAGGTTTAAGTCAAAAAAAAGAGAGAAAGAGGGAGAAAACAGAAAAAAAAAATCATGAAAAAGAAACCATGGGGAAACCAGAGGGAAGGAAGAGAAGAGGGAAGAAGAATTTTGTTGAAGGGGGCTGTAGTATCCTTCCACTGACCTTGTACAGTCAAGAAGGCACTGCATTCATCAGATCCAGCCACATTGGCTGCCACACAGGTATATGGCCCTGTATCTGTGACATCCAAGGCATTCAGCTTCAAAGCACAAACATTATCCAAAAATGAGATTTCATATTTTTCTCCACTAACAATCTCATTCCCATCCTGAAACCAGGCCACAGATATGGGGGATGTGCCAGACACTTTGCACTCCAGAAGCACTGAGGATCCCAGCACCCCATTTGTTTCCTTTAGTTTTCTTGAGAATGAAGGAGCAACAAGACGATCTAAGTAGGACAGGGCAGAAGAACAGGAAGAAAAGTGTTGGGTTTTTTTCCAGGGGAAAGGAAAGGGGTGAAAAAAAAAGCTTCCTTTAAAGACAAGTGTGAACAACAAAGACATAGAGCTGACCTGAAACATCAACTGAAGAAGTGCAGCTGCTGTCCCCCACCTCATTTTGGACCTCAAAAGTATACAAGCCCCTGTCTCCCCTGTCTGCAGAAAAGACTTTCAAAGTGGATATATTGTTGAAAAAGGTAATTTGGTATTTGCGGTCGCTCCTTAGTTCTCTGCCATCTTTGTACCACTTGGTGATAAGTTCAGGTGTTCCTCCTACTTTGCATTCCAAGGTAAAAGGATTGCCAGCCATTACTGTGATCGGCTCGGTCTTCTCTAAAATGACTGCTGGTTCTGAAACAGGAAGGGAGGGGTCAGTGTGTCACCAGGAAATCTACCTGCAAACCGGTGAGCACAGGACATAACCAGAAAACAAAGGCTGGTAGAAGCAATTGTGCAAGCTGTAAGATACAGTACCTGTGAAGCAGGCTATACCCACCTAGGACTTGTAAAAAGGCAGAGCACTCCCGCATGCCAGCATCATTTTTGATCTGGCAGATGTACTTCCCAACATCAGCTCCTTCTGCACTGGCAATCTCCAGAGTTGCAATGTTGTCCATAAACCACATTTGGACATTTTCACTCTCCCTAATAACTTCACCCTTGTCCTTGAGCCAGACAACAGAAATTGGTGGGGATCCTTCCACTACTGCCTGCAGGGCTGTTGGCTCCCCGACGAAGATTGCAGTGTCACTCAACTTCTTGGCAAAACGTGGGGGTTCTGATGGCAAAAACAAGGTGGCAGAGGAGGGTTAATCATGCATGCCTGCTTGGAAGAGGGACAGCCAGGAGATCAAGAAAAGAGGGCGGTGATGCTGTTGATCCTCTAGCATACAAACCTTTGAATTTCACTGGGCAGGTGCAAGTGTCGCTTCCCACCTCATTCATAGCTTTGCATTGATATTCTCCAGTATCTTGAGATTCCAGATTGAGAATATGAAGACTGGCAACGGAGTGCTTTGCTGTCACCTTGAACTTCTTGCTGCTCCTGACCTGCCTCCGGTCCTTGAACCAAGCCACCTCAAAGGGTGGAGTCCCTGCTATCTCACACTGGAGCATAACATCTGAGCCTTTAAGAGTGTCCACAGGGCTTGGCACCTTGCTAAAAACAGGTGGTTCTATAAAAAAAGAATCACATTATAATGTGTGAGCCTGATTCCCTGGGTGGGTTTCTGGACAGGAGCAGGAGGCAACACATTCAGGAAGGGGGCCTACACTTATTCTTCTAAACCCATATTTAGCTTCCAAATACGTGGCCTCACCTCTAAAAAATGCTGAGCCCCCCGCATCTCCCAGCAAGCCATCCCAGCACTCAGAGTCCCAAGGGCAGAAAATGTGACACTTCTGCACCTGTTTGGAGTCAGTGCTCAGTGGCCCTCCCCAAAAGCCACTCTCCCCTCTCTCCAGGACCACACTCCAGCTTTCCCCACCTCTTTCCAGTCATGAAAGCTACCATCAGTGAGGCTCAGCAACACAGCCCCCTCTTCCGTCTTAAATTTCATTCCTGCCAGGATCACTGTGTATAAAGAGGAGACAGAGGGATAGCTGCAAAGTATGCCCAGCTTCCTCACCATGGCTGGTGTTCCATCTAGTCCATGCTTCCCTTGTGACCTGACAAGCTTGCTCTGTTCAGCTTGCAATTAACTTAAATGGGGAGACAAGGGAATGGCTGCACAATGCTGAACACCCACCACTATTTCCTGCCTGGTCTCCACTGCTTAAACACAGCAGTGTTTGAATGTGAGAGCAGCTGGAGAGACACTGCCCCAGCAGCCACCAACTGCCATAGCAACAGCTCCCTGTCCAGGGGGATGTGCAGCTGGGAGTGGGCCTGGAAGCCAGGGATTCTGGTGGTGCGTGGAGCCATGCTGCTAACCTTTCACTGCGACTGAAGTGCTGCAGCTGGCTGTGCCAGCAGAGTTATGGGCTTCACATATGTAATCGCCGGCATCTTCAGCGCTGGCACCTAAGATGGTTAGCATCGCCACGGAGTCTACAAAGGACATATGGAGCTTGTCGCTCGCCTGGAGTGCCTGATCATTTTTGTACCACATGGTTCTGATCTCTGGTGTGCCACTGATTTTGCATTCAAGTTGAACTGTGTCTCCCTGCTTCACGAATCGCAAAGCTTCAGGCTTCTTGATGAACTTGGGAGGTTCTGCAGAACAGAATAAGTATGTAGAGAGTGACAGTATACCTGTTTGCCATGTGAAATCTACAGTGCTGAGCAAGAGTTATGGGGAGCACAAGAGTATTGGGGCACAACAAAGTAAGCTTGCTACAGCAGCTGGCTGTATCCCCAACCAGAGTTTCTTCTCAAGGAAAGACGCAAGATGGAGAAAAGAATGCAAAGACAACAACTAAAACTATGTTCTGTCAACTCTGGAGCCTGCTGCATCAGACAGCTGGAGTCGTAAAAAACACACGAAGGATGATTGCTCCACCTAAGGGAAATTTTGCTGTTACCTTTGAGGGGTGAAAATATCCCCAGGCCAGCATGAAAGATTTGACAAGCCCTTCATCCCCCGGAGCGGCAGAAATACGGTAGGGATAGTTTCACTTGCTTACACACCTTTAAAGCATATTTCTGCATGAAGAACTTAAGTGATTCATAGTCTAGATTAAATCAGCAATTCAGAACTCCAATTGAAACTTTAGCCAATTTGAAAGAGTCACCAATGCTGGCCTACAAATGCAAGGTAGTTGTGTTTACCGTATCACTGTTTTCCATACAGTAATTGCTATGTGTGAATACCAGTGTGACTGTAGTTTAAGCACTAATCACAAAGCAAAAAGCAGCTCTCCGAACAAACAGCTTCACAAGGGGACCTTTCCCCTTGGAGATTTTGCAGGCACACAAGGCTTCTACTGTCATGCAGTATGATAGAAGGTCCCCACATGGTATATGTCTGCTTTCTGGAAAGCTACTTTCTATATATTTCCAAACTGGAAAGTGTGGAAGATGAAACTCAGTAACAAAGAGGTCTCTTTGCCCAAGAAAAAGAAAACACACAAACGAAGGTGACTTAATCTTAATACCTTTGACACTTAGTTGGGCTGAGCAAAAGTCTTTCCCAGCTTCATTGCTAGCTTGGCACGTATATTGGCCAGAGTCTCCTTTACCCACTCTGAGCACTCGAAGGTGAGCTATGTTGGCTACAAATGTAATATTGAAGTTTCCTCCAGTTCGGATCTCCCGGCCATCCTTGGACCAGGTGATGTGTATTGGCTGGGCTCCAGTAACATGGCATTCAAAGTCAGCACTTTCCCCAAAAGGCACGTCAATAGATTCTGGTTTGGTGTCAAAAACAGGTGCTTGCTTGGGTTCTAGAAACACAAGAAAACAGTTTAATACTCATACCTCATGAAAATCCTAATTCAACACACAGATACCATCGCATGCATGAAATAGGAAGGGGGAGCCTGTGATCCAGGCAAAAGTTTTGTAAGCCAACACACCTGCCACTGTGAGCCTAGCACTTGAGGTGGCAGTGCCCACAGCGTTGGTGGCTGTGCAGGAGTACTGCCCGGTATGATTCATCTCGGTTCGCACCAGTTGCAACACTGCAACATTATCTACAAAGGATGTGTGCACATTGTGGTCATCGCTTAGCAGCACACCATCTTTATGCCAAGTCACAGTAATGGGTTCTGAGCCATTGAGCCGACACATAAATTTAAGGGGTAAACCAACAGGGTGCTCAATGTCCTTTAATTTTCTTGCAAAGGAAGGTGGTCGTTTGCGCTCTAGAAGAAAGCAAGTAAAGAATAAATATGCCCCAGGAAGCAGTTTTTTTATAGTTTTGCAAAAGCAAAAGAATTTGTAGCAAGCTAATATAAAATCATCACCTTGAACTGTTAAGAGAGCCTTTGTAGATGTAGTTCCTACACTGTTTTCTGCCTTGCAGATATATTCTCCACTGTCCTTGCTAGCCACTTTGTTGAAAATAAGTGTAGCAACGTTGTCTTTAAAGAACACTTTGTAGTCAGGAGTAGACCTGAGTTTTGTATCACCTTTGTACCAAGACACAATGATTTCTGGTGTTCCAGCAACACGACATTGCAATGTTGTATAATCCCCAACTGACACCTCAAGAGGTTCCAAGTGTGTAACAAAATAGGGAGGTTCTAAAAAAAAGAAGCAATTAGATAGGCTCATTATAGTGCCAGGCCTTGGAAAGCACGTACTTGAAAGAAGAGGCAAGAAAAAGAAGCAAAGGGAGGACACACCTAGGGTAGAGACTACAGCCTCACAAACATCTCTTCCTGCCTCATTTTCAACATAGCAAGTGTATTCTCCTGCATCGTCTTTGGTGCTGTCAAGTATTTCCAGGATACAGGATTTCTCTGTAGTGGTGATGCTACACTTCTGAGATTGAGTGATGGTGTGGCCATTCTTCTTCCATGTCACAGAGATGGGCAGGCTGCCTGTGTAAGTGCCCTCCAGGATGATGGGCTTGCCAGGCTCCACATACTGATCGCTCAGTTTCTTCACAAAGACAGCCGGCTCTAATGAAGGGTAAGAAGTCACAAATGTTGAGCACAGCTGGACAAATGGAGGGAAGGAAACAATATTTTAAGGTAAATAGAGAGACGCAATCTTTACAAACCTTTTACTGTAAGGTGTGTTGTACAATTTGCCCTGCCAGCATCATTAGTCACTAGACAAGTGTACTCTCCGCTTTGGAGAGGAGTTACATCAAATAACTCAAGCTCCACAATGGAGTCCTCCAAGTAGATATTGCATTTGTCCCCTGGCACAAGCTCATTGGCCCCTCTAAACCAGTTCACCTTAAAAGGAGGGGTTCCTCTGATAACACAAGTAAAAGTGATGCTTGTGCCTGGCAAGACATCCAGAGGCTCTGGTGTCCTCTCAAAAGAAGGTGGTTCTAAACACACAAGAGAAAAAGAGAGTTAAGACAGGTTGCTACAGCATAACCCTAGCATTTCCACACACCTAGTGAAGATAAAGAACAAAATCTTTATTTTCCCATCAATAATTGTAAATATACTCCCCCGAGTATATTTACAAAAGACAATGGGCAATTTCAAGAGAGAAAAAGGAAAGAATAGCTCCGAGAGCTTCCTGACCATCATGTACTGACCTTGTACGGTCAATACAGCACTGCATTCATCTGAACCAGCTATGTTGGTAGCTTTGCAGGTGTAAGTTCCAGTATCTGAGTCGCTCAGTGAATTCACTTCTAAAATACATAGGTTATCTGAAAAGGAGATCTGATGTTTTTCCCCATTGACTAACTTAAGTCCATTTCGGAACCAGGCAACAGAAATAGGAGGTGAACCCGACACTTTGCATTCCAGCAATGCTGAGGAACCCAGGACACAAGGGGTTTCCTTTAGTTTTCTTGTGAAAGAAGGAGGAATGATTCGATCTGCATAAGAAAACATAATAAATCCATGGTTAGAAAAAAAAGGAGGGAAGGAACCGAAGAAAGGAAAAAGAACATGACTGAAAGAAAGTTTTTGTAAAAGATGGAAGACAAGCAACCCAACCAACCTAAAACATCAACTGATGCTGTGCAACTGCTTTTCCCCACGTCGTTCTGCACTGCAAAAGTGTACAATCCACCATCCTCCTTTTCTGCATCCATAATTTTAAGTGTAGATACTTTATTGAGGAAAGTAATTCTGTATTTTTGGCTGCTTGTCAGCTCTTTGCCATCCTTGAACCACCCAGTGGAAAGCTCCGGTGTGCCTGCCACTTTGCACTCCAAAGTACAGGCGTCTCCTATAGTAACTCTCATTGGCTCTGCTTTCTCTACAATGACTGCAGGCTCTGCAAGGAGAGACGGGTAACATGTATGGTGAAAACAGGATTTCATTAGTACTACTATAAGTATTATAGCACTATAAGATGGGGCTTACACATTTGACACCAAAGAAATCTCTGTTAGGCTGGAGAATTTTTTCAGTTCTGTTTTTTCCACCTTTTATGCTACCCTAACTGGAGATTTCAGACGCTCTCCAAAATGAAGTAAAAATATTTTTAAACTCCTAAGAGAGAAATGCACTGTCTGTCCTTCTCCAAGCAGGCATGAGCAGAAGACATGACTGGATCCCATCACAGCGTAGAGGCCTGTGGTTCCTTTCACCCCTATCCCTGAACAACTGGAAATAAGGAACCTGACTACTGCTTGCTGGGGACACAGGGATTCTCTGTTTTGATTGTTTTGAACTCAGGGGTGTAAGCAAAGCATACAGATGACACTAAATAGCCAAGTTCCTAACTTTAAAAAAAATCTTTTATAAACTTGTGCTTTTTACCAACCTAGAATAGTTAAGGTAGCCATGCACTCGCGACTTCCAGCATCATTTCTGATCTGACAGATGTATTTTCCAGCATTGCTTGTCTCTGTGCGCACAAGTTGTAAAGTTGCAATATTTTCCATAAATGTGATCTTCGTATTTTCACTTTCTCTAATAATTTCCTCTTTGTCTTTAAGCCACTGCACAGAAATTGGCTGGGAGCCCTCAACTCTTGCTTGTAATTCTACTGGTTCACCAACCACAACAGTCATGCTGTTTATTTTAGTCAAGAATTTTGGTGGTTCTGAAGAAGAAATATGCAGTTATAGTAAATACTCACAGTATCTACGTAAAGAAAAGCGACGCAGTGCCATTGGGAGCACTGCAGAAGGCATATGTGCCAATACTTTACCTTTCAGCTTCACAATGCAAAAACAAGTGTCACTTCCTACGTCGTTCTGTGCTTTGCACTGATATTCACCAACATCTGCAGCTTCGACATTAAGAATGCGAACACTTGTATGGTAGTTTTTGGATGTAACCTTATACTTCTTACTACTGCGAATTTGTCTCCTGTCTTTGTACCAGGTAATGTCAAATGGTGGTGTTCCTGAAATCTCACATTCCAGGCTAACTTCGGTTCCTTTGAGCATGTCTACTGGAGAGGGCTTCCTGCTAAAGACAGGAGGTTCTAACAAGGGGAGAAAGGAACGTTTTTAGAAAGGAGTCTGGAGCTATTTGACCAACAAACAGTTTACTGATACCAGCTTCTACACAACGAGACTTCTGAGAAAATAAACAGAATGGGCAAGGACTTTCCTTATTTTCTGGGCACATTATGAAATTATCTTGCAGGTAGTTGAGCATTCAGAACTCTTAGCTCCTCTGTAGAAAAGGTAAACAGAGGGGTGACCCTTGGCAGAGAGGGTACAGGTCTCATTTAGCTCAAATGGTAGTAGTCTCAAATACAGGGTGTAAACCTGACATTTATCAGTCTGGGTCTGTTCTTTTTCTTCGTATTTCAGCTCCTTGATATAACAATTCTCACTATGATCTGTCTTAGATGTTGACAAGCATAGAACTGGGGAACACCTAGCTTAGGACTCATCTGCACTAAGAACATCTCTCTTGTTCAGGCTCTGACAGAGGGAGTGAGGGGGCATCAAGAAACAAACATGACATGAAGAAAAAGAAATTAATCTGTGGATTTCCAAGGGATAAAACCATCAGGGAAAAATAGGATGTATTCAGAGAACAAGAGGACAGCTAACCTTTCACTATGACTTTGGTGCTACAGCTGGCCTTGCCGGCGGGGTTGTGAGCTTCACAGATGTAGTCACCACTCTCATCAGTACTGAGATGATTCATTTCAAGCACGGCCACAGAGTCAATGAATGATGTCCGGAATTTTTCACTGGCAACGATTTCATGGTCATTTCTGAACCACACTACTTTCATCTCTGGAGATCCACTTACTTTGCACTCAAGCCGGGCTGAATCACCCTGCTTGACCACTTTTGTGACCTCTAGCTTCTTAGCAAACTTGGGTGGTTCTAAAAAAACCAGAAAAGTGGGGTCAGGAAGATCTGAATTAATACTGGAAAGGAAAGAGTAGGGAAAAGAGCCAAACAACTGTGGGTTGCGAACACAGGGAATTCACTTGGCAGTGTATCAAAGATCACTTCAAAAAGGAAAGAAAAGAAATAGATGAAAAGACTACAACACAAGAAAGAGTGCACACCTGTTACCATCAATGTTGTAGCGCAAGAGTCACTGCCAACGTCATTTGAAACGTGGCAAGTGTAATGCCCACTCCTAGAAGCATCCACCGAATAGAGGGTTAAGAACCCAGTTGACCCTTCAATCCCAATGAAACAAGTCGGACCAGATACAAGTTCTAAGTCTTCTTTGAACCACTTTAGTGTAAAGGGTGGTGTTCCTTTTAGTGTGGCCTTAAACTCCACTGTGGAATCTGGAATGGCTTGCTGGCTTTCAGGTTTTACTAAGAAGCTTGGTGGCTCTGCAGTTTTTAAGAAAAACAAATATTCAGTTACATCAGAAATGTCTAAGAATGAAGAAAATTAGTGAGGTAAGCATGGAGACCAAGTTTTCAGCAGTAATATTAAGAGGTATAAGAGTGTTATGTTAGCATAAGATTTAAGGTATTTTCCCAGCATCTATCACAAATAAGAAAAAGCAGTAAAAGAGTTTCAAACCTTTCACAGTCAGGACAGCACTGCAAGAATCGTTCCCAGCAACATTAGAGACACCGCATGTGTAATTTGCAGTGTCTGCCAGCTCTAGATTAGCAATCTCGAGTGACACAGTGTTCTCGTGGCACAGGCTTCTATATTTTGCACTGTCAGTTATCTCTTTTCCATCCTTAAACCATTTTGCAGTAATGGGGAGTGACCCAGAAACTTTGCACTCCATTTGGATAGAAGATCCCAGAACGGTATCCTTTTTGGTTAGCTTTTTGATAAATGCAGGAGGAATTGATTGATCTGCCCAACACAAAAAATGGCAAAAAACACACTGGTTACCTTCTTGCCTATCTTCCACAAACAGAGATTATTATTTTTTCATTCCCTCCCTGCTGGATTGGTGAATTTGCCAAATGACAATACAAACCTAGCACAGTCAGAACAGCTTCACAGGTGCTACTTCCGAAGTCATTTTCAACCTTAAAACTGTATGTACCACTGTCCTCCTTTGATACAGGTTCAATCCTGAAACTGGCCACATTGTTTTCAAAGCTCATTGTGTAGTATCTACTGGGCAGGAGCTGTTTGCCGTCTTTGTACCATCTTATTCGGAGCTCCGGTGTCCCAGCCACAGTACACTCCAAAGTCACGGGGTCTCTTTCTGTGACTTTAAGTGATTTAGCCTTTTCTATTATCCGTGCAGGCTCTGAGGTATAAAGTGTATAAAAATGGCAGTTAGCTAAACAGATAGGGGACTGACTTTCCAAGTACTCATCATGGATGAGCTTGAAGGGTCACACCTTGTACACACCTTGTACAAAAAGCAAAGCAAAGCACTTCTCCACACCAGACTCGTTCTTTGCCTGGCAGGTGTATCTCCCTCTGTGGCTGAGGTCAGCATTGGTAAGTTTCAGTGTGGCCACGTTGTTCTCAAAAGTAATATGATGGTGCTCATCGTCTTCTAGTATTTTCTCATCTTTTATCCATGACACAGATAAGGGTTGAGCGCCTGCTACAACGCACTGGAAGGATGCGGTACCTTTCAAAATGCTAGTGACGTTCTCCAGCTTCTTGACGAAGGATGGTGGTTCTGTGGTGTAAGGTTTTGTTTGTTGTTTGGAAGGGAAGTCATGGAAAGGGAAGAGGGGAAAGAGAGATCATATAAAGTCATCCTACTCACTACAGTTTTGCTAGGGGATGTAATGTTTGGGGTATGCTTCCTAGAGGACTGACCTTTCAAGCTGAGCCTTGTGCTGCAAGAACAGCTCCCACCTTCATTTGATATAATACACTGGTATTCACCAATGTCTGAGACATCACAGTTAGTCACATTAAGAGTAAATACTGATTCTTTGGTGGACATGGCATATTTCTTGCCGCTGAACATCTCCTTATTGTTCTTCAGCCACTTCACCTCAAATGGAGGAGTACCAGTCACTTCACACTCGAGTGTAGCCTCCAAACCCTTCACTACCTCAGTGGGTCTCAAATCCCGAACAAATGTTGGAGGCTCTACAAAGAGGAATAAAGGGAAAGTAGATAGTGACATTGAACGGTTTTGAGGGGAGAAGTAGTCTCCCCTACTCCATCATCCCGGCTATGTGGCATAGCTGGATGATGACAAGATGTTCAAAACCAACCTTTTACTTTCAGCTCGATGCTGCAGCTCTCACTACCTGCATCATTGTGGGCTTCACAAACATAAATCCCACTATCTGACACTCTGGCTTGAGTGACTTTCAAAGTGGCTAAACCGTCTACGAAGGAGATGCCGTACTTAGCTTGGTCAGTCACTTCGTTCCCATCCAGGTACCATGTGACGTGGATGTCTGGTGTGCCTACTACCTGGCACTCGAAAGTGGTGGACTGTCCTTCACGCAAAGCTACTACAGAAGTTGGCATCTGAATAAATCTGGGGGGTTCTGGAAGATGGACAGAAAAGGTGAGGCTTTATAATATTCAAGGTGGTTTAAAGAAATACAGGGGTTTCCTATCCCCTCCCCGCAAATTGCACAGAAAAATCAGAACCACAAAGAGAAGAACATTGAGTTGCACACCTTTTACAAACAGAGCTGCTTTGCAAGTTGCTGTCCCCACATCATTGCTTATCTGACAAGTGTAGTTCCCGGAGTCAGATGCCCTAGCTGAGAAGAGCTCCAGTACACTAGATGTGTCGTCCTTCCAGACAGATCGATTGGCTCCAGAGAGGAGCTCCTGGCTGTCTTTAAACCACTTTATCTGCAGAGGAGTAGAGCCTTTCACCAGTGCTTTGAACTGAACCCTAGCATTGGGCACAACCTCTTGGGACTGGGGTTTTTCCACAAAATATGGCGGTTCTATAACATGTAAAAAGGAAGAAAAAGGATTACTCTGAGACAGGGGAATTCCAAAATTATGAATGAGAGACCTAACACAAGACAAAGAGGGAGCTCAAACCTTTGACTGTTAAGATCCCACTGCATTGGTTGCTTCCTGCCTTATTTGTTGCTTCACAGGTGTAAGAGCCACTGTCTCTGCCTTCCAGTTTATTGATTTCTAGAAATGCAGTATTATCATGGAAAGAGTATTTGTGCTTTTCACTTGCTGTTATTTCTTGGCCGTCCTTATACCACTGGATACTTATAGGATGTGAACCAGACACTATGCATTCCAGGTGGACAAAAGACCCCTTAATGCTGTCCATTTTCTTGAGCTTTTTGGTGAATTTAGGTGGTATAATAAGATCTATGCAAAACAGAGTAAAAAGACAAAGTATGAAATTCAAACTTGATCGTGGCAGATGTCAGCTCAGGAGAAAAGATTTTGTACGTAAAAACAATGATAAAAGAGAGTCCATACACACCTAGGACGTTAATGCTGGCAGAACAGCTACTGCTCCCAACGTCATTATGAACCTCAAAAATGTATTCCCCACTATCTTTCTTTTCTGCATGAAGCACCTTTAGGACTGAGACAGTATCTGTAACACTGATCTTATATTTTGGGCCTAATGTCAGTTCCTTGCCATCTTTGAACCATTTGGCTGTAATATCTCTCGTTCCTGAAAATTTACACTGCAAGGTTGCTGGGTCTCCCTCAGTCACATCTATTGACACGGCCTTGTCCACAATTGTAGCAGGTTCTGTTGTAAACAAGGAGATAGAGTGTTAAGGGCATCTGTAAAAAGTCACAAGGGAACCATCTGAGATCACTGCAAGCCCTCAAGGTAGGACCAACCTTTGACAGTCAGCAGAGCAGAACACCTCTGAATTCCTGCCTCATTTTTAGCCTGACAGAAATATTTCCCATCATGTTTCAGTTCAATAGACCTCACCAGAAGAGTAGCAACATTGTTCACAAAGGTCATTTTGATATTGTTGTCTTCAATCACTTCATCGTTGTCTTTCAGCCAGGACACAGTGATGGGCAAGGAGCCTTTAACAGCAGCCTGAAACACGACTGTGCCCCCTCGAAGGGAACTAATGTTTTCTATCCTCTTCAAGAATTGTGGGGGCTCTGGCAGGAAGAAAGTGGCTATGTAAGTATGGGTCTGGTGCATGACAGTGTGGCATGGAAACCACACTGGGATAAGAGCATGCTAGCGGCATTCTGCACCTTGCACTAACCTTTCAGTGTGACCTCTGAACTGCAGAGGCAGCTCCCAACATCATTTGTTACTCTACACTGATACTCGCCGACATCAGAAGCATCAAACCTGAAAATGTGGAGGCTAATCAAAGATTTCTCAATGCTTATTCTGTGCTTCTTACTGCTCCGTACGGGTTTATCATCTTTCACCCAAAACACTTCAAAGGGAGGTGTGCCAAGCACCTCGCACTCCAAAACCACGTCAGAATCCTTCAAGACTTCCATGGATTGAAACTCCTTGCTAAAATGAGGTGACTCTACAGTGCAAAAGAGAGAGTGCAGTTTGTATTAATCATACTTTCGAAGCCTGTAAAACTGCACTGTGTTTAAAGAGCTAACTGGGTGGCTGGATGTCACACACACCTTTGATTGTAACAACGCTACTGCAAATATCTTTTCCGGCATCATTTTTGGCCTCACAAATGTATTCCCCACTGTCTTCAATCTCAACCTCCGAAAGATGGAGTATTGCCAAGGATTTTGCAAAAGACATCCTGTATTTGTCACTCTCTTTTAGCTCTCTATCATCCTTGAACCACGTGATTTTAATCTCAGGAGTACCAGTGACTTCACAGGTCAGCTCAGCATATCCACCTTTCTTTACCAGATGGGCTGGCTCTAGCTTCTCCTTGAAGGCAGCAGGTTCTGTGGATTTAAGAAGAGTGTTCAGGACAAAGAAGGCAAGAAAGAGTGCCACTGGGTCAATCCAGCAGCGGAAAGTTTAAAAGAGAGTAAGAATGCAAACCTTTTACAAACAAGTTTGCACTGCATGTTACTGAACCAGCTACGTTGGAGACTTTGCAGGTGTATTTTCCTGAGTCTGTTGGTTTGACTGCGTAAAGTTCCAAGTAACTTGCTAATGCTTCTGTCATAATGTAGCAGGCTCCTCCTGTCACCAGCTCAGTATCACCTTTAAACCATTTCACCGTCAGTGGTGTTGTGCCTTTAAATGTGCCTTTGAAACGTACGGTTGATGCAGGCAGTACATCTTGGGACTCTGGTTCTACAGTGAAGCTGGGTGGCTCTAGATTGCGTTGAAAGAAAACAATTGTCAAGAGTAAGACACATGGCCTGCACTTCGGGGAAGAAAAGTATTATCACATGAAAAGTAAAACTCCAAGAAATGCGAAATAAATTACCAAACCTTTTATAAACAAAGTGCTACTGCTGTCTTTGCTACCAGCAGAGTTTGTGGCTCTGCAAATGTAGACACCAGCGTCACTTGCATCTAGGTGTTTTATTTCCAAAGATGCGGAGCCTTCTGCAAAGTGTACTGTGTACTTGGCACTTGAAGTTATCTCAGTGTCCTGCTTAAACCAAGAGACGGTCATTGGAAGAGAGCCTGAAATTTTGCAGTCTAGACGGCACGAGGTGCTAATGATGCTGTCAATATTCTTCAGTGGTTTAGTAAAGAAGGGAGGGAGAGTGCGATCTGTGGAGAGTGAAAAAAATTAAAGAAACCACACATGAGCAAAACAGACATGCAGTTCTGCTTCTGGCTCTGTTGGGCTCAGAGCAGAGTAGCAGGGCTCTTTGCAGAGTCAGTACCAACCTAGCACAGTGAAGCTGGTAGTACAAGAGCTGATGCCCACATCATTGGATATCTCAAAGGTGTACTCGCCACTGTCCTGCATTTCAGTGGCATAAAACTTGAGCTGGGCAATGTTATTTTTAAAGCTGATCCTATATTTTTTGCTGGCAGGTAGTGGTCTTCCGTCTTTGAACCATTTGGTTTTTAGCTCTGGAGTGCCTGTGACAGTGTACTCCAAAATGGCTGGTTCCCCTGCTGTTACCTGGATCATTTCGGACTTTTCAATGATTTTGGCAGGTTCTACAACAGAATTAAACAACTGGTGTTAAGGACAAAAGGAAATTGCTCTTCCTCTGAAGTGGGAGACAATGCAGGGATCACAGCACTACTCCACTGACCTTTCACTGCTAGTTCACCAAAGCAGGACTGACTTCCTGCGTCATTCTCAGCCACGCAGGTGTATTTGCCACCAGAGCTCAGTTGGACACCGGTAATTTGCAGCGTTGCTAGACCGTGTTCAAATGTCACTCTCACTTTGTTATCATCTTGAATAATGTCTTTGCCCTTCATCCACATCACAGAAATAGGCTCTGACCCTTTCACCACAGCCTGTAATGTAATACTATCTCCAGCCAGAGCTGTCACATTTTCGATTTTCTTAACAAAAGATGGTGGTTCTAGTTCAAAGAAAAGAGACAAGAAGAAATACTCATCTGCTACCACATCATCCCATGAAATCTACTGCTTCAAGACAGTTTTATGAGACAGTATGTGTAGTACATGGCGCAATTCAGCTAAAGAGCAGGCAAAGAGAAGAGCTGCATTCCCCAGCTAGGAGCTAATGCATGGCCCTTTAAGCTCGACGTCCTTCAAATTCACAGTTTTGACACCAGATAAGAGTTAAGATATACACAGAATTTTAAGAGAAGAAGAAGATACACTCCCTCCCCACCCTCCCTAGCCACCTACAAATCCAAAGAAAAGACATTTCAAGAAATGAGAGGTTCTTGCCAATCCCTTCAGTAAGTGGAGTTTTCCCTCTCCCACTGACCTTTCAAGATGTATGTTGCACTGCATATGCACTTCCCGACTTCGTTAGCTATCACACACTCGTATTCACCGACATCCGCACTATTAAATGAGGACACCTCCAGAGAAATAACAGCTTTCTGAGAGGTCAACCTGTATTTTTTACTACTGCGAATCTGTTTCTTGTCTTTGTACCAGCTAATCTCAAACGGTCCAGTACCAGCAACCTCACACTGAAGAACGGTGTTTGTTCCCTTCACTACCTCTGCTGGTTCAAGTGTTCGGATGAAAGACGGAGGCTCTATAAAAGCAGCAAGAAAGAATTAGTCATCCATGCAAAAAAAAAAAAAGGAAGGGAAGGTTTTTCTTAGGAATGGACTGGTAGCAGCAAGAACAGACCTTTGACAACTACTTCGGAGGTGCAGCTGTCACTTCCAACCTCATTTACAGCTTCACATGAGTAGCTCCCACTGTCATCAACTTTCATCTCCAAAATATCTAACACAGCCACAGAATTGACAAAAGACATCCTGTGTGTGTTACTTTCACGGATTTCCTTATTGTTCTTGAACCAAGTAACCTGGATTTCAGGAGACCCTTTGATTTTGCATTGAAGGCGTGCAGAATCACCTGGGGTCAGTAAATAAGATGGATCGACCTTCTTCACAAAGGATGGTGGTTCTAAAAATGGGAAGAAAAAGGGAAAAAGAAAAGGGAAAAAGAAAAGGGAAAAAGAAAAGGGAAAAAGAAAAGGGAAAAAGAAAAGGGAAAAAGAAAAGGGAAAAAGAAAAGGGAAAAAGAAAAGGGAAAAAGAAAAGGGAAAAAGAAAAGGGAAAAAGAAAAGGGAAAAAGAAAAGGGAAAAAGAAAAGGGAAAAAGAAAAGGGAAAAAGAAAAGGGAAAAAGAAAAGGGAAAAAGAAAAGGGAAAAAGAAAAGGGAAAAAGAAAAGGGAAAAAGAAAAGGGAAAAAGAAAAGGGAAAAAGAAAAGGGAAAAAGAAAAGGGAAAAAGAAAAGGGAAAAAGAAAAGGGAAAAAGAAAAGGGAAAAAGAAAAGGGAAAAAGAAAAGGGAAAAAGAAAAGGGAAAAAGAAAAGGGAAAAAGAAAAGGGAAAAAGAAAAGGGAAAAAGAAAAGGGAAAAAGAAAAGGGAAAAAGAAAAGGGAAAAAGAAAAGGGAAAAAGAAAAGGGAAAAAGAAAAGGGAAAAAGAAAAGGGAAAAAGAAAAGGGAAAAAGAAAAGGGGAAAGGAAAAGAGAAAAAGGAAAAGAGAAAAAGGAAAAGAGAAAAAGGAAAAGAGAAAAAGGAAAGAAGGGTGAAATACAAAGCTTTGAAAGATTGGTTCCTAATGCAAGAACAAAACATGACTTCAGAAAATATCAGCATAATCTTTGCTGAGCTGCAGTTCTTGCAGTTTCTCTTGCCCTCTCCGCCCATCTTTCCCCTGCATACAGGAGCAATTCTTGGATCTGGCTGGTGGAAGAAACATTGAAGCAACACACACTGCACTGGAAGGCAGCAGGGGAAACGAGCAAGAGGAGAATGGACCTGATGGTCTGAAGTCTGAGAAGAGTTGACAGCATGATCTAAGCCCAAAGAAGTCTTTTGGCTGCAAAAGAAGAAATGGGGAACCCAAGAAGAGCAAAGGTAAAGGGGGCTATCTAAAGGACTATCTTACCTCTGACTGTGACGCTGGCAGAAGAGGAGCTGCTTCCTGCCTCATTTGAGGCAGTGCACACATAGTGGCCTGAATCCTTGAGCTTAGCCAGAGGAATCTCAAGTGAGGCTATTTTATCTTCAAAGTAAATCTTATAATCTTTGCCTGGAGGGATTTTGTTTCCATCCTTTGTCCACCCTACTGTTACTTTCCTGTCTTCATCTACCTGACATTCAAGATGTATTTTTTTATTGACTGCTGACTGCACTGACTGCAAAACTTTAATGAAGTGGGGCTTGTCTATAATGACCATTTCAGCCTGACAGATGTCAGCCCCAAACTTGTTGGAAGCTTTGCAAGTGTAAACCCCTCTGTCACTCGTGGTGAGAAGGGAAATTTCTAACACATGTTTATTTTCCACTTTGGAGATCTTGTGGTGGTCCGAAGGTGAAATGGTCGTGCCATCTTTCTGCCAGGCGACATCGATGACTGGAGTGCCCGAAACGGTACACAGGAACTTGGCACTTTTGCCCACAAAAGTAGTGATAGATTCAGGTCTGGTAAGAAACGCTGGCGGAAATGCTTCTGCAAAACAAAGCGGTTCAATGTTATCCAGAGGTGAGGACCAGAGCTTATGCTCTTTCTCCACAGTTGCCAGGGACAGAGAGCAAGAGAGGCCAGTTTGTCACTGGACACTCTTAAGCAAAATAAGCCAACAGTGAAGGAGATAAGAGGTGTTAAAGATGATGAATTTTGGCTTTTGTTTTGTACTTCTTGGGTCTGTATATTGCTCCAGAGCTCGAAGGCATTTTGAATCTCTGGAGCAATGTACAAACTAAAGGAAAATAAACCAAAAGCCAGAACTTCCTCCCCCAAGAGTGACATGTTTGCGCACCATTCCCTCAAGATGGACAAGTTTGCATGCATTTCACAGTTTGTTCATCTTTCTTTAGTCTCTAGCATCTGGCACTTAGCAAAGACCACATAAAGACTCCTCCCACAAAGAGAAAAGTCAGAGTAAAAAAATCACCATACACTAAAAGTCCAAAAGATGATTTGTTTTTTTTTTCTTTTTTCAGAAAAAAAAAAAAAACCAGAAGAGAATTGTATAGCTCTCAATAGCCAAAAAAGTTTGCAAATTGAAACAGCTTTAAACCCTCTTTTGTTTGTTTAAGAAGATCTATTTCCCCAATCACCCAGAGTTCCCCTCTGGCCATGGCACACAGATATTCAGGTATGCATAGCTGCATAGCCTGCCTCAGAAGTATAGCTGCAGGATAAACATAGGATTTTAGGGTAATCGCACAGTGATTATTACACCAAAGAAATCAGATTTAAAATGTATGTTTTCTTGTTGTCTGGAAGTTAGATAAACCTTCTTCAAGAATGTTTTCACAAACCAATCCCATTCTGTTGACAGTCTAGCTCCTCCCGCTGTCTCTTCCCCCACTTCTTTCTTCCCTTCTGAAACTTTTCACACTGATTCCCTTTTCTAGGTACAGAAAGCACCTAAAAGTAACGTTCTCAAAAATTATTCCTTCTCTGTGCTTGTGCCTGCCAAAATTAGGTATGGATTATGTATAACAATGGCAACCAAGAGCCCTACCATAAACATTTGTAAGTATAGCAGTGAAGGTACTGCAATATACCAAGGTATTTTATGAAGAAGGAGAAATGCTTGGAAGCCTGTACTTACCAGTTACTGTTAAAAGGGCTGTAGAGCTTACACTGCCATGCTGGTTGGAAGCCTTACAGCTATACTCTCCATAGTCAACAACCTGAGGCCTCGGGATCTCCAGCGTGGAGAGGTAGTTGGAGGTGCGAATGGAGTATTTGTCCCCATCATATATCTCTCGGCCAGCTTTGTACCACTGGAACCTGACATTGGGAGCAGTCTCTACCTCACAGGTAAACTTGGCCACGTGATTTACAGCCACCTCCAGAGATTCGAGCCTTCTTCTTAGGATCGGTGCAACTGAAATCAGAAGCAGAGAGTAACTCAAAGCCCTGCCTGTTGACATTCTGGAAAGTAACAGTGAAGTGACTACTGGGGAAAAAAAAGGTGATTTATTTGCAATCCACATAAAGTGATTGTAAAAGAAAAAAATACGAAATGAAATAAATGAAAAAAATAAGAAATGAAAGCAGTACCAGGCTCAGTGGACAGACAGTGTTACAGTGCATAATGACATCAGGAAACACAGTGGTGATACTGGAAAAACAATGTGCAGTAGCAATGCACAATAGTAATGTGATACAAACATATACCACGCTGTCCTGGAGCTGTGAGAAATTACGGTGTGAATGAGAAATTGTGCTAAAACTGTGCAATGTCTCTAAAGAGTGAGAGAGGGTGCAGCAGTGAGAAAAGTGGGAAGAGCAGGTCCACTTCACAGGCAACAACGGGAAGTGGTTGGGACTGAGATACAGCTTGTCCTGACCATGCTTGTGCGATGAGAACAGGAAGAAACAAAGTTCCTGACCAAAGACTGGGGCGAGAGGAGTGAGAGACTTTGCAACGTGGTAAAAGGAGACCATAAACCCAGAGAGAAAGGGGGCCCTCTGATTAGTGGCATGATGGTATTAATATTGTATCTGCACCCAAAGATACAGACACATAGTAGGGCAGTTTCGTTAGTAGAGCAGTGTATTAGAAAGGCAGTATTTTATCCCCATAATCCAACCTCTTTTAACAACTGTGAGTTTTGCTGCTGTTGCTCTTTTTCCACCTCGATTCAGTGCCTCACAGGTATACTCTCCTTGGTGAATGTCCCCACACGCTTTGCTTATTACTAGCGTGTATGTGTCCTGATCTTGCAAACATTTGAATTTGTCGCCTGAAGACACCAGTTTACCCTCAAAGTACCAGTTCACCTCTCTGACATTTGTTATGGCAGACACCAGACTGACACTCTCCCCTTCCTCCACAACAGTGTCAACCAGTTTGCTATGTATGGTGGGATAACTCTCTTTGCCCAGCTCATCCTCTAGCTTCCCGGCTCTTCTTTCCAGACCCTCTCTGCCCTCTTCCTCACATATTTCTTCCCTTTTCTCCTTCCTTTTCAGTATTTCTGTGGGTGTCTCAATGGGAACATTTACGGAGGCTACATCAGCAGTGGCTGCAGCTGCACCTATATCCTTGATTTGACCATGCCCAGTCACAGTGTTGATTACTTGTGCAAACAAAGGCTGCTCCAGGGGTATTTCTGCCTCCATAGTCCTCTGAGCCTGCTGGGGCTCCAGCTCAGGGGTTTCATCACAGGATTTTCCTGAGAGAAGTGGACTGGGATGGACTGGCAATGCTTTGGATTCTTCATCTGTCACAAGATGTTTTTCTTCACAAATAAGAGAATAGAAAGCCTCCTTCAAGACTGTTTTCTGGTCAGCTGTCTGAATGGTGACTTCTCCCAAGAGCACTGGGATTTCTATGGGACTGGGTCCTCCTGTGGTCACAACGTAGGTGCATAGGGTGTGTTTATGTTCCTTGGTGATGTTTATTGTCTGTACTTCAACGTTTTCTTTATCAGCCAACCATTCTGAAAACAAGAGGTTTTGCTCACTTACCACTGCAGCTTTCAGTGCATTTCTAATTTGAGATTTTATGTCTAAGTTACAGGTCTTGGCAACCTGAGCAGTGAGCTGGCTCTCTTTGTTCAGGACTTGGCTTGGCTGGAGCTGGTGGGTGTACACTGTTTCATGGGGTTGTCTCCCTGCCCTTGGACACTGCCTAAGTGGGATGGCAAGATCGTCGACATGTTCCTCCTCAAGGAGCTGGTTTTCTTCTAGCAGCAAGGGAAATCTCACAGCCTGTCCCTCACGGATTCTTGCAGCAAAATCTTCCTCTGCTGCTTCCAGGGAAGAAATGTTCTCCAGGGGCACAGCTTGGCCCCCAGTGAAGGCCAATTCAGAGGGAAACATGGGTTCAGCCTTCAGCTCACCTTGCATTGCCTGGAAGCCCTCAAGGACCTGGATGTGGTCACTATCTACGGCACGGCTCTCAGTGGTGCTTGACACTTGTAGAAGGGCTTGGGAGGTTTCTGTCTTCAGAGCAGCCATTTGCTCTGCCATCTTGGGGATGACTTGCTCTTTGGGCAAGAGTATCTGTGCAGCTACAGTCCCAAGGCAGCCTGGCAGTTGTGTCTCCATCGCTGCTGCAGGCATGACACCCTGGGGGCAAACAGGGAGGGTTTGCAGTGGCTCTGCCAGAAACCTGCTGCTCTTTTGTGTTGTGGCGACCTGGGTGAGCATCTTTTCAATACTCTGTGCAACCAGGCAGGCCGGTGGCAGACCAGGCAAGATGTCCTCCCTGGGCAGCACGTGCTCTGCCTGGCTCATCTGGAGTTGAAGGAGGGCTGGGGGCTCCCTCATGGCCTCAAGGTTGAGCGCTTCTTCCATGGCAGAAAGCTCACCAGCCTCCTCATAGGAGAGGGGACTTTGGTCCTCTGCCACCGCAGAGTGCTGCAAGGCTGGGCTCTGCCTGCACACAGCATGCTCCTCAGGCAGCACAAGGAGCTCAGCAGAGCATGTGGCCTGGCCCAAGGCACTCACAGCCCTGCACGTGTAGAGCCCAGTGTCCTCCTCCATGCACTCCCGCACTGTCAGGGAGCCCGAGCCGTCAGGATGGTGAGCAACAGAACGACGTGCATCGGAGAAGACCTGCTCACTCCCCTTGAACCACTGCACATTGGGGCATGGCTCCCCAGCCACGGTGTACTCAAAGATTGCGGTGAAGCCCTGTGCACACCGCACATTGTCCGGCTCCCTGGTAAAGCAAGGGACCCCTGGTATCCGCTGCTGCACGTGGAGGTGGGCGCTGCATGTGGTCTTACCATGTACATTGCTGGCCACGCACGTGTACTCGCCCTCATCCTGCACACCCACGTATGGGAGGATGAGGCTGTGGTCATTGCCAGCAAACACTAACTTACAGTCCGTGGATGGGGTTAGCTTCCTACTGTTGAAAACCCACTGGATTTTGGGTGTGGGGCTGCCAGTAACAGTAACAGAGAGCCTAGCTACATCTCCCTGCCAGACTTCAACATTTGAGAACTGTTTGAGGAAAACAGGGGCTTTGCCCCCCTCCTCCATTTTCATCTTTGCTTTGCTGGAATAAACTGGTTTTTCAGGCTCAAATTCAAGTGTTTTCTCTCTATCAGACAACTGAAGGCCGCTGCTGTAGCCTTCACTTCTTCCTTCCTCAGAAGACACAATAAGAGAGCTAGCGATGTCTGTGTGGAAAAAAAATGTTTAGTTTTACTAGAATGTTTAAGAGAACACTTGTAGATAGCAATAAACAGTGTTAGTGCAACTATTTTTGTATATCTGGAGGCTTTCTCAATACTGTACAACAGTTAATGAACATGAGGTCCTCTTGCTGTCAAATACACACCTGCCAAAAACAGCAAGGCATGCTGTGCTGTCAGGTTACTTATGAACTTCCCATCTGGATCAACATGGGTGTCTCTTTAAACCTGGCATCACAGCATGGGTTAGGCATACCCTCAGGGTGTACAGTGCAAGTAACAGTCAAACAACACTGGGGCGTTTCACAAATATAACGTCGTATGTGCCATACATATTTGTATGTACACTCATACAAAAAAGTACAGCAGAGTAGTGCTAAGACCCTGGTTTAATTCAAAACACCGAGAAAAAGCAGAATGCCAGAATTAGGATCAGAAAAATAACACAAAGTTTTCAGCGCAGAACCTTTCTGCTGGTGCAGTTAGTTCATCTCTTTCAACTCTATCTTTCGTCTAACACACTAAGATATTACCTCTCCCTTACCAGCTTTGTCCTATTTTTGTCATTAGACCCTTATGCTTACAACACCATTATTACTAAAATCACAAGTTTGCACCCTTGATTTAATGTCATTGGTTTAAATCTCTGCTTTTAAACTCCTCCCTGTCACAATGTTGAATATTAAAACTCTCACAATACCAGAGAAAAAGACAGAGCACTTTAAGGTTTTTCTTTTTCTTGCCTTTGTGAATTTAGACATTTATGTGTTGGACTGCTTTGTTCTAATGGTGGTTTAAAAATGAGAGGAAGCAGAAATTAAGAACATTCTCTGCAGACGCTTGACACTAGAAATATCAGTGAAATCTGAGACTTCCAGGAATGGAAAAAGCCATCCATGAAAAGCACGGCGCAAAAAAACTTTTGGAAATCAAATCCTGTTGTCTTCACTGAGTCAAGTTTGCTCAGTTAAGGCCCACAGTATTTGATGCTGGAAAGATATGAGAGTCATTAAAAAAGAATAAAATAAGTGCGAGTGAATAAACGTCTCCAGGCACTCTAATGTTGAACCTTGATAAGTCTCTCAATTACAGTGTCTTAAATTCCAAAACTTATTGTGAGATAATAATTTTTGCTGCACTCCAATAACAACTATAAAGAACAACAGAGTATGCCATACCCAATTCTTTCTCCTTGGTTTTAACAAGTATTAATCTTGCCACAAATACCATCATATACATGACATAGCACAGTGCACACAGCAATTAACTGCAGAGAAGAGATGTTTAGGTAAAAAAAAAAATTACACCAGTCCTTCAATATTACCTACCAGCCTTGTTAAAACAGTAGGACAGTTTCCCCAGAAATACAATGTGCTAGTGAATTTGAGAATGGGTGGCAGAATTGGGCCCATAATAAAGTATAAAAATTGCAGAATGGAACCTATGCTAACACACATGAGAATACTTTATATAGAGGAGTGTGGCAAAAATTAATGCGCTTTTGTGTGTTCCTGGATATTTATGACTGAAAAACTACACAGATACTTTTTCATATTTTAGTTATGTCTGTGAAATGAATAAAGTACAAGAAGCGACGGACTTAAATCATTTACATATTTATTTCACAAATTAGCTATACATGTTAACATTCAATACACATTGATGACAAACAAACATAATTCATCCTTTTTTTAAGATACTTGGTTTGTAGAAATGAAGACAACATTAAACC